GCAAGGGCTCGGGGGCGCAGGCGCGCAAGGGCTTCGAGCGCGGCCTGCTACCAGGGGCCCAACCGAAGAAGTCCTTCGGAGCGCTCGCGGCGCCGACGGCCGAGGCGCGGGGCCGCTGGGCGGAGAAGTTCGGGCTGGCGGCGGACGGCGACCTGGCCGAGAGAGCAGCCGCGAGCGCCAGCGCGGCGCAGGGGGCCGAGGGCGAGCGGCCTGCTAAGCGCCAGAGGACGGCCACGGCGGCCGCAGGAGGGGGCTCGGGCGCCAGCGCTGCCGACGGCGTCCTCATCCTGCCGCCCGCAGAGTCGGCGGCAGCGGCTTACGGCTTCGCCTCGGCCGAGGAGGCGCCAGCCCGCGGGGCGTTGGCGCGCCGGGCGAGGACGGCCGCTGCTGCGGCCGAGCGTGCTCTGCGCAGAAGTGCATGGGATTGTTGTGGACACGTGTCCTGCGGGAAGTGGGCACTGGCAGGTTTTCTTTTCCCGCTTTCGGGTCGCCGGGCCTTCGGCGGGCCCCGAGGCAACTGAAAAACGACCGAGCTGGTTATGGCGGGAAATCCGCCCCGAACCCCCTAACCTAATCCTACAACCTTAAGCCGAACATCCATGATACGAGCCCGCGTACCCTAACCCTAATCTTACCACCCTGATCCTAATCCCCCAACCCGAACCCGAACCCAAACCCTACCACATTAATCTTGAATTCATGACCCGAACCCTGAAATCCTGGCCCGCTTCCTTCAGGGTCCTTTTCCATCGTGGCGACGGGGGCGTCGCTCGATTGCGAAACAAGGACAACATCGCGGCCGTGACGGCGGCGACGGTCCTTGCCTCTGCCGCTCCTGCCTCCCGCCCCCCCCCATACCGTGGCCATGTTGGCCCGAGCGCCCCGCTGCGCCCGAGGCACTGCTGCTCCTGTCGTCCTCTCGCTGGCGGCCGGGCGTCGGCGCTCAATCACAGGCGCCGCCGCCGTGCGTTTCCAATTGGCGGGCGCCCCCCGCCCCGCGATTCGCCCGAGCAGGGCAACCATTTTGTAATCACACGCCCTGCTTGTTTTTGTTAAGCACAAGGTGACACTAACCGTGGCCAGAAGAAACCATTTCGTTCTTTACTCCGTGTTCTTCGTGGTAGCACGATGATCTCACCAGCCCAGGTATTTGGCGGATCGTGTTTGATTTTTCAGCCATCCTGTGGAGTTGGGTCCTCGTTTCGAATCAGCAGCGCCTCTTCTCCTCCTCCCCATTCTACCCATCCCTGCCCCTGCCCTCCATTTGTCCAGGTCGGCACACCCCTCACACGCTTCGTGGCTCCACAGGGAAGTCCACAGAAGGCCCCAGTACCATCGCCCGCATGGCGTCGCCGCGCCAATTTCGCCACACCGTTCTTAAGCTTCGTGGCCGCATTGGGAGTTCCACCAGCGGCTCAACTGCCCGCGCCCGCGTGGTGGTAGCGCCCACTGTGGCGCACACACACACACACACACACACACACACACACACACACACACACACACACACACACACACACACACACACACACACACACACACCTTTTTTACACCGAAGGCCCCATTGGCAGCGCGTGCGTGGCAGCAGCGCCCCATTTCTGGCACACTGCGCGCACATTCCGTGGCCCCATAGGGAGTTCATCGAAGGCCCCAGCGGGGGCGCCTTCATGGCAGCACCGCGCACAGGTCGGCACACCCCGTCGCACGCTTCGTGGACCCATAAGGAACTCCGCCGAAGCTCCCAGTGCTAGCGCCCGCGTGGCGGAATCGCCCCATTTTAGGTACACGCCTCACACGCTCCGTGGCCCCATGGGGAGTTCCACCGGATGCCCCCGTGTCACGGTCCACGTGGGCACCCCCGCCCATGTCGGCACACCGTGCACACGCTTCGTGGCCCCATAAAGACTTCCACCAGGGGCACCAGTGGCACCATCCACATGCCGACCCCCGCCCATTCCGGCTCACCCATCACACGCTTCGTGGCCCCGAAGGGAGCTCCACCGAAGGCCCCAGTGGCAACGGCCGCCCCCGACCATTTTGGCACACCGTTCACGCGCTCCGTGTCCCAATAGGGAGCTCAACTGGCGCCATTACGCACAACTGCGTCATTCGCAAGTGCATATGTTTGAATCGCTCGCCACGCTAATGTTCAGTCCTCCGTGCAGTCTGTGATCTATATGACAAAACAAAAATCCGCGTCCCTGGTTTACTGGTCCGACCGCGCTTACCGCCCGCCCGTGTTGCGGGAAACACAATAGAGCGTTTTGCCTTCCACGCCCCATTGCCCATAAGACTGCTCCTGGGGAAGGGGTCGGGGGATCTGCAGGGGCGGCGGATTGAAATTAGCCTGGCCAAGGACTCAACCTTCTGTAGCTGCGCGTAGCGCATGTCGTTGCCATCTCCTCATGTCCTGGCCGCCGCTGGATGGATGGTTTCCGGGTTCCTGTGGGGCACGATCCGCGCGAAGGTTATGCCGCAATGGGCGGGCAGTATGCTGGCGCAGCTATTGGGGCCCTAGCTCGAGCTCCTCGTAAGGGGGACGATCCGTGTGACGGGTGCGGTGGAGTCCGCATGCGAATTCGCCCGCTGAGGCCGCAGGTGGAGCTCCAGGATTTGTGTACGACACGATCTGCGTGAGTGTGAGGGGTGCGACCAGGTGGCTTGGCTCTGCATGGGAACTTTCCCGCTGGCGCCACAGGTGGAACCCATGGACCATGATCAGCGTGATGGGGTATACCGTAATGAGAGGGGGGGGCATGTGAACGCCCTCGTTCAGGCCGGAGGTGGAACTCTTTTTCGTGGCCACGATCCGCGTGAGGGTTGTGCCAGAATGAACGGGGGGACGCGTTTGAGCGCCCTTTCTGGAGCCGCACGTAGAGCTCCCCACGGGGCCACGATCCGCGTGAGGGCTGTGCCGAAACTGGCGAGCGGGGACATGTGTACGCCCTCGCTGAGGACGCAGGTGGATCTATGGATGGGGCCACCCTCCGCGTGAGCGGTGTGCCGAAATGCGCCCGCACTTGGGCCATGGGTGGAGCTCCCTCGGGGGAGCGATGCACGTGGGGGCCGTGCTGCAATGGGCGAGTGTAAGCCATGTAGACACCCCACTGGGGCCATATGATCAAGGACATGAAAAACGCCCCTACCCTAGTTTACGAGGCGTTGTGCGCTGAAACTCCTGTGGGTTGACAGGGTAATCCCTGCGTGATGTGCCGCGTCCTGGCGGCTCTAGGCCTTGGGGGTTCCCAGGAGGTTTACAGACCACGCACTTGTAACCCAGGGTAGGGTCGTTGTTTCGTCCCTCAATCTGAGGAGCTCCTTACGGGGGCAGGGAACGTGTGACGGCTGTGCCAACATGGGCGCAGGGACGCTTGTGGACAATGCCACCTGGGCCAGCCAAAGATGGAGCTCCTCATGGGAGCAGAGCGCGTGAGTGGTGTGTGCCGAGCGAGTGGGTAAGTGAGTGAAGCAAATGCCATCGAGAAGGATAAGGGGGGGCAGGAGACTGACTGACTGACTCATCTGCATCGATATCCATTCACTCCTCAAGAGAGCTACTCTAGGGGTACCGCAGAGCCTGGTATTTGCACTCCAGGGGGCCTTATATTGTGTGGGAGCGCAAGGCCAGACGCCGCTGCCATTGCGCGCACAGCGCTAGCAGTGGCGTCTAGGCGCGGGGGCGCTTACTAAACTTGGTTGCGAGAGTTTTCTCTTCGCTGGATTCGCAGTCGGAGCTCCTCCAACCTGTCCTCCCAGGGTCGACGACTGAGCGAGCGAAGGTAGGCGAGGGAGGGAGGCTCCGAGCCCGACCGAGGAGGAGGAGTCGATCCCTGGAGGCTGTTGGGGGGCTGCTGCCTGGGCTCAAGGCCATTCTCCGAAAAAAATTGTGTGAGGGACTCCTGACCTGCTCTGCTGTTCCTACCTACTCCTCCTGGTACATGTTCTTCTCTACTCTGGCTCACTGCTTTCCTCGGATTCCGTAGGCAAGCCCCCCGATCGGTGCCTTCCCTGGCATCTTCTGGAGCCCTCTCGCGCGCAGGCACAGGCCGATCAGACGGTTCACTCTGACAAGTGTGAAGTTGCCCGCTGTGTCGAGCTCCTGTGGATGATGCTTGCCCTTCTGCGCCACGATCTGCTGTTCCTCTGCCAGGTTCTTTGCCACGGGCCAGTGTCCCTCGAAATTGAAAGACAGACGTGATGTGGGTTGAATTCCTTGTTTGCTTTGGAGCTCGCTTGATCGGGGGCAGGAGGAGGAGGAGGAGGAGGAGGGGAAGGTGGTGGAGGAGGAAGCGTAGGCGTAGGGAGAGAATGAGGCAGGATTATGAGGATGAGAAGTAGAGACCATTCGGCATCATCACCATTGCAACTGCGTTTATTATTATTTATTATTATTATTGCTATTAGTATCATCATCATCATCATCATCATCATCATCATCATCATCATCATCATCGCCATCATCATCAGCTCAGAGTCCTGCTCATAGTAAAACACATACTTATTGTTATCACTGCCATTATCGTCATCATCTTTGTCTTCAGCAACACCATCGTCATCATCTCCATGTGGACATACATCTGCTCAGTATTTGAAGGAAACATCATAATCAACATCATCAGCATCGGAATCATACATTCCATCATCGTTATCACCATAAACCATCAGCATCAGCAGCATCCGCAATACGACCATCATGGGCATCATCAACGCCATCGGACATCATCCTCAACAACAGCCGCATCAACATGATCATCATCATTTCCATCATCATCACCATCATCATCATCATCATCCTCATCATCCTCATCATCACCATCATCATCACCACTATCATTACCATCAGCAGCAGCATCGTCATCACAATCATCATCGTCATCATCATCATCACCATCATCACCATCATCATCATCATCATCATCAGCAGCAGCAGCAGCAGCAGCATCACAATCATCGTCACCATCATCCTCTGTCGGTATCGGCGTATGTGTTACTCCTCCGAGGAGCGCCAGAGACGGGGCCGACTCCGTCCGGGAGGCGGGCGAGAGCTTCTTCCTCCCGTTCGAGGGCCTCCCTGCCGTGGAGGTGCGGGTCTCGCTGAGCGCCGAGCGAGGCCCGAGGGTGTGGTGCACGCCAGAGCGCGAGTTCGATGAGCCGCGGTGAGGGCCGGGAGGAGGCTGGGCGCGGATGACTCCTCCTCCTCCTCCTCCTCCTCCTCCTTCTCCTCCCCCTCCTCCCCCTCCTCCTCCTCCTCCTCCTCCTCCTCCTCCTCCTCCTCCTCCTCCTCCGCCTCCGGCTGGGCGCGGATGACGTGGGCGCTGGCGGAGACGCCGGTCGACCTCGAACAAAATCGGGCACGCGCCGATGTCAGATTCGGACAGCAGGCAGAAACACAAGCGTTCGGCGGTCCGCGCGGATTTCTTGGAGCTGCGCTGGAGCCCCCTGGCGGCACCACCCCTGGTGCGCTCTGTGCGCCAGGGAGGGGGGCCCAGCTCAGAACCAAGGAATCCACGTGGACCGTCGAAAGTGTATGTTTATCCAGTTTGTCTCCTGGATAGAGCTGGCACGAGGGTCAAGAGGAACCCGAGCTCTGGAGGGGTACACTTACGATCCTCGTGATTCGGCCCTCCGCCTTGGGAGTGTTCTTCGCTGGAGATATGTTCATGGGTCGTTGGGCCCTCGGCGAAGGGGCTGATGTTCCCCAAGCAGTGATTGCAAGTAGGGGCTCATCTGTTCTACGGAACTGGGCATGGGCGCCGGTCTGGCGGCTATGTGGTCACCGTCGCCGCCCCGTCGCCGCCTCGATGCCGCCCATCCTTTGAGCAGTTGTGCCAGTCTGGCGGCTATGTGATTACCGTCGACGCCACGTCGCCGCCTCCTCGCCGCCTCTTTTTGTTGCTGTGTATTGGTTTTCGTTGATTTGAATTTCGTTGTATTGCTTTTCGTAGCTGTGCTTGGCACTGCTTGGCATTTATTCGCATTGCTTTGTATTGCTCTGCGTTGCTCTGCATTGCTAGATTGCACAACATTGATTACACCACATCGACTGCACCACCCATATTCTCCTTTCTTTCCAAAATCCCCCCCGGACTTATCGACTCCCCGGGAACCCATGCAAAACACATGATTCGGACCCAATGTCCACCCTACTTGTGATTTCATTCTATCCCAGCTAGGCCGGTATCGCACCCACCCACCACCATCCTCTGCAGAAAATTCTATGCGCGCACGCTCTTTCATCAAAAATCGCAAGTTTCCAAGAATCCCTTGCAAAGCATGGGACGAAGTGCACCGCGCGCGTCGTCGCGCGCGCATGCCGAAATCCCTCACACACCCTCGGTATCGGAAGGATTTCAAAGTCGTGTGTCCAATATATATATATGTATATATATACGGGTTCGCAACATGTATGTTCAACAAAAGCGTGCGCGCGCTCGTGCGAATTTGTAAGGAAACCATAAGTTTTCAACATTTGCATACAATGCTAACAAACGGGCTTCGCGCGCGCATGTCGAAATCGTTCGAACGCTCTTGCGCGCGTGCTGGGTTGGCACGATCCGTATCAAATAATACCATGCAAGTAACTCTCGCGCGTTTGCCGCGCGCGCATTTCGAATTCGTTCAGAACCTTCAACACCGACGCGAAGACGCCATCATCGTCGCCGGCGTGATCAGCATCGGCGCCGTCACTCGCTGCCCCGTCGTCGCTGTCAGCATCGCCACCAGCATGGCTACGATCATCATCGTGTCTACCGTCGTCGACGTTGCCGTGATAACGCGCCCGCCACAGTCGCCGGTTCGCACTGAAGTGCCCGCTGGAATGTGCCGAGCGGTCAGCGCTACCGCGTTCGCGTCGGTCGCGCCAAACCAGCTGGCCGGTGCGCGCGCGAGCATACGCGGGCTAGCGCGGCCGCGGATATGCACCAACCAACACCCGGCACACATCGCAATCGCTCCCGCATGGCTTTTGCAAACCAAGTTGCGGGTGGGTGGGATGAATGCGCGAGCAGTGGAGTTGGCAACTTCAAGTTCGGCAAGTGCGTTGCGCCACATAAAATGCACCGCGCACATTGCACCACATCGATTGCACATCTATTGCACCACGTTGATTGCACCGCAAATAAAATACCACATAGATCGCACCACGTCGACTGCAAAACAGAGCTTGCGCACCGCATAGACTGCACCGCGTACATTGCACCACAGATTGCGCAAGATGTGCTGCCAGACGTACAACCCTTGGGGCCAACGCTGGCTAACATTCGTGAACCACGTTCTTGTGGCCACGCTTCGGCTGCAGACCTGGGGTCCAGGAGGGGCGAGAAGCTCTCGTTCTGCCCGCACGGAGCCTCGCGACGGAGGCGATTCCGAAGCCAACGGAAGCACAGGCGAGACGCCCAGACGTGTTGTCCAACCCGTGTTTGCTCTTGGGGTTGTTCCCCCTGCTGCTGAGCCATCCGTCTTCTTCCCCTCGCCTGCATGCTGGGCAATTCGCATTTCGGCGTCCCCGTTTAGCATTCGATCGCCCGTGCAACCACTCTGCTTCGCCGCCGATGAAAAGAAAATTGCTGCGCCATCTGGCGGGCGCGCTGGACTTTCGGCCTGTGTCAGGCCGTGGGCGCTTGGTGGGCGTGCCGTGCGCCATTCAAGCAGTGGCGAAGCGTCTTGGCTCGCCTATAGGCCCACAGAGAATGTTATGAGAACCTTTTGTGGTCTGCGCGATATGTTCTTCGAACACTTCTGGCTGAAGCGTTCTTGCTTTCACACACCGGGTTAATGTTCCAAGAACACTGGTTTCGTTCTTGGAACTTTTTGGAGTTCCAAGAACATGTCGTGGTGGGCCTATAGGAATTGCCGGCGGAGGGCGAGACCTTGGGGGGTGGGAGGGTGGCGGGCGCGGGAGCGACAGAGGGGGGGGGCGGAGGTATGGGAACGACGGGAGGGAGGGGGAGGGTGGGGGGGAGGCGAGGGGGAGGAAGCGGAGGAGGAGCAAGGAGGAGGAGGCGGGAGAGGATGAGAATGAGGATGAAGGGGGGAAGAGGAGGAGGAGAGGAGGAGAGGAGGAGGAGGAGGAGAGAAGGAGGAGGAGGCGGAGGAGGAGGAGGAGGAGGAGGAGGAGGAGAAGGAGGAGGAGGAGGAGGAGGAGGAGAGCGGGGCTCTGCCCGGTTTTGTGGCCGGCGCCCGCCGGCGGGCATGCCGCGCGGGCGCCCCGCTCGCTGCGCCAGGATGTCCAGCGGTTGCGGCCAGCGCCCAGAGGCGGGCGCTTCGTGGGCGCCCCTGGCCGAGCACGAAGCAGTGTCTCTCACCAACCGCCAGACCACCCCAACCCAACCCGAAGGCCTCAAGCTGCCCTCCATTTCCAGTGGGGGGGTGGTCGGGGAACAGCGAAAAATACGTATGGAGCCCATACCCCCCCCCCCAAACCGAAGTTCGGGTCTTCGGGTTGGGTTGGGGCGGTCTGGTAGGTAGTCAGTCTCGTGGTGAGATCCTGAGGGAGCCTACAAGCCCAGACCCCCTCGAGTCATCAAAAAGTCATGACGGGAGCTTGTTCCTAATTTTTGGCCCTTGGGGCCCTCGCCGGGCCTCGGGAGCGTCAGAGAACGACTCGGGATGCAGAGCTGGTCAGGGGGAAAGGGTCGGGACCATTGGGGGTAGACGTAACGAACAAATCATCACGTCGGGGGTCTGGGAATTGTGAAGGCGGGCGCACCGAGCCCGTCTTTGTGGTCAGTGGGAAACAGAAAAAACGAGCACCACACGGCTGACATCGCATGGCTTTCACCACATGGCGCTTGCACCACATAGGTTGCACCACGAAGCCTGCACCACGCAGCTTCACCACACAACTTGCACCCCATGGCTTACACCACACAGCTTGCACCACATAGTTGGCGTCACATCGCTTGCACCACATAGCTTACACCACATGATGTACACCGTGTAGCGTACAACACGCACTTAATGCAGTATACACTGCATCACGTACTTTGCACTGCATAGCTTGCGCCGCAGCGCTTGCACGGGGATGCTAGTACCAAATAGCTCGCACCTCATGGCTTGCACCTCATCGCTTAAACCACAACTCCTGATGCATAGCCTACACCATAGCTTGCACCCCGTAGCGCACATCATAGCTGACACTGCCGAGTCTGCACCACATGATTTCACAAACTATCACATTGCTTGCACCACATAACTTGCATCACGTAGCTTACATATATCTTATACCAAATGCAGTACACCACACAGCTTGCACCACGTAGCCTGCACCACGCAGTCATGGGACCACGAACAGTGCGCATTTCAGCATATTCCACGCAGCTTGCACAACACAGCGTACACCACATTTCTTCACCGCGTTGCTTGCACCTCGTAGCTGACCGCGTATGGCCTGCATACAATACCTTTCGCGCATAGCTTGCACGACATAGCTTGCGCCACATACGTTACAAACAAGCCCTGCACTACATCACCGACGGCTTACACCTTACACCTTGCACTGAATGGCTTACATCACACAGCTAGCACCACAAATCTCACACCACATAGCTGACACAGCGTATCATACCTCGCATGTGTTGCTCCGCCGTGCCTATCCCTTATAGCTTACATTACACACCCTGCACCACAATGCTTTACAACGTAGACCCGATCACCGTGGCTTGCACCACATAGCTTGAACACCATATATTGTCCCACACAGCTTGCACCACACAGCTTGCACTTCAAAGCGCTTGCATCACATAGTGTATACCACATATCTTGCACCACATTTCGTACACCACATAAGTTACACAATGATGATTGCATAGTGCAGCTTACGGCTCAGAGTGCACCACACAGCTTGCACTGCACAGCTTGCACCACACATTCTGTGCCACACATCCTGCACCACAAAGCCTTCACCACACAGATTGCACCGCGCAGCTCGCGCCGTGCAGCTTGCAGATCCAGAGTGCAGGAAGTGACTGTTCGTTCCACGCCTGCATCTATTAGATCATGGATTGCCAAGGCTGGCCGTGACTGTCGTCGCCGCCGCCGACGCCGCCCTCGCCTCCCAGCCCCCGCGTCGCAGCCTTCGCCTCCCAGCCGCCCTCGCCGCCGTCGTCGGAGGAAGGAGCTGCGGTGCCAGCCAGGACAATCCAGCCCGGCTCTGGCGGCGAGGCGCCCACTCTCTTGCTTGTGCGGAGCCGTAGACGACCCGAGCAGGAGGAGGAGGAGAGGAGGAGGAGGAGGAGGAGGAGGAGGAGGAGGAGGAGGAGGAGGGGGATGAGGAGGAGGAGGAGGAGGAGGACGAGGAGGAGGAGAAGGAGGAGGAGGAGGAGGCGGAGTAGGAGGAGGAGGGTCGCCGCCGCCGCCGTCACCGTCGCCCAGCCGGCGCGTCGCGCGCCCCCGCCGCCCCGCCCGCGGCGCCCGCGCGCCGAGCCGATGGCGGCCTCCGCCGCCCGGGCCGCGCGTGCGCGGGCCTGGCCGCGGCCCGTGGCGTGCGTGGCGCCCTCGGGGTCGGGGCGTCGCCTTTCTCGTCGGCGTCGCTCCCAGTCGCTCCTCGTCGCTCCTCGTCCGTCCTCCTCCTCCTCCTCCTCCTCCCTCCTCCTCCTCCTCCTCTCCTCCTCCTCCTCCTCGTCCTCCTCCTCCTCCTCCTCCTCCTCCTCCTGCTCTCCTCCTCCTCCTGCTGCTCCTCCTCCGCTCCTCATCCTCCTCCTCCTCCACCTCCTCCCTCCCCTCTCCTCCTCCCCTCCTCCTCCTCCTCCTCCTCCTCCTTCCTCCTCCTCCTCCTCCTCCTCCTCCTCTCCTCCTCCTCCTCCTCCTCCTCCTCCTCCTCCTCCCTCCTCCTCCTCTCCTCCTCCTCCTCCTCCTCCTCCTCTCCTCCTCTCATCCTGCCTCCTCCTGCTCCTCCTCCCTCCTCCCTCCTCCTCCCTCCTCCTCATCCTCCTCCTCCTCCTCCTCCTCTCCTCCTCCGCCTCCTCATCCTCCCCTACTCCTCCTATCCCTCCTGCTCCTCCTGCTCCTCCTGCTCCTTCTCCCTCTCCTCCTCTTCTTCCTCCTCCTCCTCCTCCTCCTTCACCTCCTCCTCCTCCTCCTCCTCCTCCTCCTCCTCCTCCTCCTCCTCCTCCTCCCCCTTCTCCTTCTCCTCCTCCTCACTTCTCGCTTCTCACTCCTCACTCCTCACTCCTCCTCACTCCTCCTGCTTCGCTGCGCACCAACCATAGTGAATGCTCAGATTCGCAGAGCGCACTCCTCCTCGTCACAACCCTCCTGCGTTGGGTTCTCGTTTTGAGTAGAGCACTGAGGTCGCAACCTTCCTTCCCTCCTTCCCCCCTCCCTCCTTCTCTCCTCCCTCCTCTTCTCTCCTGCCATCTGTCTTGCTTGTACCTGCCTGTCAGCTCGCCTATTACCTCGCCGTCCTGTGTTACCTCGCCACCTCTCGGGAGCTGCGATCTGCGGACCCGTCGCCACTTTCTAGGGCTGCTGGGGTGTCCAGCGGAGTTGTTACCCGCCGCCAGTCAGAGAAGATCTCGCCGTGCTCTGGGGGCTGCGAACTGCGAGATAGTCGCCATTTTCGAGAACTGCTGGGGTGCCCAGTGGGGTGACGCCCCGCCGTTGATCAGAGTAGACATCGCCGTCCTTGGGGGGGCTGCGATCTGCGAAACCGTCGTCACCTTTGCGCAGCGGAGTGAGACACCGCCGCGGATCATAGTAGCCCTCGTAATCCCCCGGGGGGGCTGCGATCCACCAAACAGCCAGCATGTTTGCAGGCTGCTAGGGGGTCCAGCGGAGTGACGCCCCGCCGTGGATACAGATTACAGTCGAGCCTGATTAGTACCCCTGCCAAATCAAGGGTGCCCTTGTGTCCTGTGTTTCGCGACCCATGCCTTCTGCATTCCTATGGCAAGGTGGCCCTCGGGAGGGTCTTGTGTCCTCTCGCGTGTCCTCTCCAATCGACCCCGAATGTACACCTCGCCACACCTGCAGGGCTGCGATCTGCGCGACCGTCGCCACTTTCGAGCGCAGCTGGGGGGTCCAGCAGAATGGCGCCGCACGGCGGATCCAGGTTCGACCTCGCCTTCCCTGGGGGGCGTTGCGATCTGGGAAATTGTCGCCACTTTCGAAGAGGATGAGGCGGAGGAGGAGGAGGAGGAGGAGGAGGAGGAGGAGGAGGAGGAGGAGGAGGAGGAGGAGGAGGAGGGAGGAGGAGGAGGAGGAGGAGGAGGAGGAGCAGCAGGAAGAGGAGTAGGAGGAGGTCCAGCCCTGCCCCCGTGCGGCGCCCACGCGGCGGCGCCCGCAGCGCGTGCCATTGGAACATCTTCGCCAGCCTTCTTCCTCATCGTGCCTCTTCCGTTGTCGCCCCAGACCCCCTGCCACTGGCTCCCTGCTCCTCCTCCTCCTCCTCCTCCTCCTCCTCCTCCTCCTCTCCTCCCTCCTCCTCCTCCTCCTCCTCCTCCTCCTCCCCTCCTCCTCCTCCTCCCTCCTCCTACCTCACTCCTCCTCCTCCTCCTCCTCCTCCTCCTCCTCCTCCTTCTCCTCCTCCTCCTCCTCTCCTCCTCCTCCTCTCCCCCTCCCTCTCCACGCTGGCTGTCCGCCCCACCCAGCCGTGTTCCCCCCCCCCCCCCCCCTTGGCATCGCTTGGACGTGTGCATGTTTCCGTCGGCGAGGGCCATCGAGGAACATCCTTGATCATGTGGCGAACAAGCCACGCACGAAACCGGAAAAAAACACAGGGAATGGACGTCCGAGCGATGGCCAGCCCCCACTTCCTCTTCAAGCCTGGGGCCTCAGTCCTCGCCCTTGTGCTGGTGTCCTGAGGGCCGTTCAACGCGCGCGCTCGCTTACCAGTCACCTTTCACGACAAGTTGCGGCTCTGACCCGGTTACCAACTAATATGGTCACTTGGTGCAAGCGGGTTGGGGACGTCACAGGGTCGAAACCGATTTCCCTAGCCAGCACACCTGCCAGCCCAACCAGCCCGCCCGCAAACCCGCAAAGCGGCCCAACCAGCTCAACCCGCCACCTCACCAAACCGCCTCCCCCCGCCGCCTACCCTCCGTCACTACCAATCGGGATGGTACAAAACAACGAGAATGGCTGTGAACCATCCTCAGGGACCAGGCTGGCAACCGGGAGGGGCCAAATCCTTCGTGAACCGGCCTCCCGGGCGGGCGCTCTAGTAAAAGACGGCTCGGGTGGGAGGGGGAGGGGGAAGGGGCCACAGCGCCACGCCACGCCAACCAGCCAAACCCGCCACGCCAACCCGCCTAGCCTTGCCGCCTGCCCTCCGTCACCACCGAAGGGGGGGAAGGGTTCCTTACCCAGACCTCCGACGTCATGGTTTTTCATTACGTCGACCCCCAGAGGTTTCGACCTATTCACCGGGACCGGTTCTGAGTCGTTTTTTGACGGCCCCGAGGCCCGGCAAGGGCTCCCAGAGGCCCTAAATGAAGAAAAACCTCCCGTCATGATTTTTTCATTGCTCGAGGGGACCTGGGCACCCAGCGGAAGCGGCTGTGAGCCGCCTTCTGGGGCTCCGGCCGGCAGCCGAGACGCGGGGCCAGTCGCACCGCATGCCGTGGTGCACCGGCCTCTTGGGCGTGTTTGTCCCGAGCAAGGTCGGAGGCCCGACGCGACTGCGATGTTGTCGCACATGTCTCCGCGCTTCCCAACATCCACGCTCTCGATGGGGAAGCTCCCGGCCTCGAAGCCGCAATCGCCTCTCAGGGCCCCCGGTGCCCACGTCCCCAAAGGGCTTCGGCGACTACAAAGGGTATGGTCACGCCGGGGTGTGGTTTGCGATCGGCACCGTCGGGGCCTGGGGGGCACGACACTGTCCTCGGTCGGGCCTCCTCGGGGGGCGGCGGAGAGCTCTGCTGAGGTCCTCGCCCGCCTCCCAGGGTGCCCTTCAGGGTGCCGGTTGCAAACCACACCCTTTGCATAACCACACCCTTCGGAGTCGCCGACCCTTGCCGCCGTCGAAGCCGCTGGCCCTCGCCGACACACCGGCCAGCGCAGCCAGCCCAACCAGCCCGCCCGCAGACCCGCCAAGCAGGCCCACCAGCCCAACCCGCCGCCGCGCCAACCCGCCTACCCCCGCCGCCTGCTCTCCGTCACTACCAACCCAGACCCCCGACGTCATGATTTTTTCATGACGTCGACCCCCAGAGGTCCCGACCCTTTCCCCATGACCGCCTTTGCATCCTGAGTCGTTTTTTGACGCCCCCGAGGCCCGGTGAGGGCCCCCGGAGGCCGAAAATGAAGGAAAACCTTCCGTCATGATTCCTGCATAACTCGAGGGGGTCTGGGAATGGAGATGGGGAGTGTTTTCTTGCCGTGTTGTCTTGTCCGCGAGAATGGCTGTCAACCATCCTGCGGGGACCAGGCTGGCAACCGGGAGCGCCCGCAAACCCGCAAAGCAGCCCAAGCAGACCAACCCGCCAACACACCAACCCGCCCACCCGTAAGTCGGGCCTGTCCCTCTACAGGGGGAATATGCAAAAATAGTAGATTATTCACTGCGTGGAGCTCCCCATCTGTGCATCTCATGTTTTATGTCATGCCATAGTGAGCGTCTGAGATGAGGGTGCCATGCCATGTTTTGTGTCTTGCCATGATCTATGTCAAGTGACGTCAAGCCAAGGATGTTGGGCATGAAACCAGCGAGCCGCCTGAGACATCCCCACAAACTGGCCGCGAACAGGCCCGTGTCCTACCCCCTGGCGGCTCCTTTCTGGCCGCGAACGGGCCCGTGAAAACACCCCAGGCGGCTCCCCTCAGGGTTGCTGAAACCAGCGCCCCGCCTGAGACATCCTCACAATCTGCTCTGAAAGCCAAATCCCCACAAACTGGCCGCGAACGGGCCCGTGGAAACACCCTTGGCGGCTCCCCTTCGGGGTGCTGGAACCAGCGCTCCGCCTGAGACATCCTCACAAATGTTGGGCATGAAAACGAGCAAACCGCTTGAGACATCCCCACAAACTGGCCGCGAACGGGCCCGTGAGAACACCCCTGGCGGCTCCCCTCAGGGGTGCTGAAACCAGCGCCCCGCCTGAGACATCCTCACAATCTGCTCTGAAAGCAAAGGATGTTGGGCATGAAAACGAGCGAACCGCTTGAGACATCCCCACAAACTGGCCACGAACGGGCCCGTGAGAATTCCCCTGGCGGCTCCCCTTTGGGGTGCTGAAACTAGCGCCCCGCCTGAGACATCCTCACAATCTGCTCTGAAAGCAAAGGATGTTGGGCATGAAAACGAGCAAACCGCTTGAGACATCCCCACAAACTGGCCGCGAACGGGCCCGTGAGAACATCCCTGGCGGCTCCCGTTAGGGGTGCTGGAACCAGCACCCCGCCTGAGACGTTCTCACAATCTGCTTTGAAGGCAAAGGATGTTGGGCATGAAAACGAGCAAGCCGTTTGAGACATCCCACAAACTGGCCGCGAACGGGCCCGTGAGAACACCCCTGGCGGCTCCTGTTAGGGGTGCTGGAACCAGCGCCCCGCCTTAGACATCCTCACAAACTGCTCTGAAAGCAAAGGATGGTGGGCATGAAAACGAGCAAACCGCTTGAGACATCCCCACAAACTGGCCGCGAACGGGCCCGTGAGAACATCCCTGGCGGCTCCCGTTAGGGGTGCTGGAACCAGCACCCCGCCTGAGACGTTCTCACAATCTGCTTTGAAGGCAAAGGATGTTGGGCATGAAAACGAGCAAGCCGTTTGAGACATCCCACAAACTGGCCGCGAACGGGCCCGTGAGAACACCCCTGGCGGCTCCTGTTAGGGGTGCTGGAACCAGCGCCCCGCCTTAGACATCCTCACAAACTGCTCTGAAAGCAAAGGATGGTGGGCATGAAAACGAGCGAACCGCTTGAGGCATCCCCACAAACTGGCCGCGAACGGGCCCGTGAGAACACTCATGGCGGCTCCCTTTAGGGATCATGAAACCAGCGCCCCGCCTGAGACATCCTCAAAATCTGCTCCGAAAGCAAAGGATGCTGGGCATGAAAACGAGCAAAACGACGAGGAGGAGGACGAGGAGGACGAGGAGTGCAGTCAAGACGCTGACAGAAGGACCGAGGTCATTCCGTGATTGGTCCTCTAGCCCGCCTCGTGCAATCCTGGCGCCGAAGGGGTGCTCGGTCCTTCCGTAGCGTTCTTTATTGCAGCAGCCTGACTTCAGCAGGAGGAGCATCGGCAGGAGGAGCCCTTACGGTCAACCCGCACCGTAAGGATGAGAGGTTTCCCAAGGGTAACCTTCGGCCCATCCTTGTCCGCCCTCGCTGGCTGCGCCCCGTTCGCAAAGTGTCGACGTGGCCTTCCAACCCTTCGATCCGACGTTGTCAAAAGATGCAGCATCAAACAAATCAAGACCAGAGCGCCGGACCAAATCTTTCTGCCTCATCTTTCGAGCCGAATCGATATGTGAGGATCCCAGGGTCCGAAATTGGGCGAAAACGCCCGATGTAAGAAAGAATGCGACATGAGGATCTCATGGAAGGCTTTTGCTGATGATGTTCCACCCTATTTTAGCCCGAACGACCAGAAAGAATTTCGAGCACCAAGAACGGAGGGTTTTTCACGCGTCGGGCTCTGGGAGGCGATACTAGTTCGACACTGTTTCGATACCTTTCGGGGTGCTCGAACTTACTTCTGGGACTTGGTCTTGAAGTACGATCGGAGCAGCATAAGCCCGGGACGGACGAAAGGGGGGGATTGGGAAAGGGGGGGTTACGGAATTTGCTGCATGCAGCTGGTTTCGGCCCCACCCGCCGAGGGGCCCATTCCTCGATACATAGTCGCCTCCGGCGCCGGGAGGCGCCGGGAAAATCAGCTACGCGAGCTGATTCTCAAACCTCCCCTTTGCTATCCCCCCCTTTCGCCCGGCCCGATAAGCCCTTGCATACTTATCTTGCGTCCTTATTTGCGGGTTGACTGTAGTGCCCCCCAGGCGCTCGTCCTCGGCGCCGCGCTGCCGGGCTGCCTGCGCAGCCCGGAGCCGCCCGCCCGCGCGGCCTTCGCAGGCGGATCGGCGCCCGTTGGCTTGCCGCGGCTTCTGCGTGCTGCTGCTCTTTCTCCTCCTCCTCCCCCTCCTCCTCCTACTTCTCCTCCTCCTCCTCCTCCTCCTCCTCTCCTACTCTTCCTCCCCCTTCCTACCACCTACTCCTTCTCCTCCTCATCCTTCCTCGATCCTCCTCTTCCGCCTCCGCCACTCATCCTCCTCCTCCTCCTCCTCCTCTCCTCCTCCTCCTCCTCCTCCTCCTCCCCCCCCTCGCCACCTCCTCCTCCTGCCTCCTCCTCCTCCTCCTCCTCCTTCCCCTCCTCCTCCTCCTCCATCCTCCCCCACCTCCTCCTCCTCCTCCTCCTCCTCCCCCCTATCACCATCACCAACTTCATCATTGTCGCCATCACCATCACCATCATCACCATCATCATCATCATCATCATCATCATCATCAGCAGCAGCATCATCATCATCATTATCAGTATCATCATCATCATTGTCATCATGATAATCATCATCATCATCATCATCAATATCATCAGTATCATCATCACCACCATCATTATCGTCATCACCACCACCATCATTCTATTAATACTTATTAGCATCATCAGCATCATCTGCATCATCATCAGCAGCCGCATCATCATTAACATCCTCACCACAATCATCATCGCCACCATCACCATCATGATATGTAGCATCATCGTCAGCATAAGCAGCATCATCATCATCACTACCATCATCATCTCAACAACCACCATCATCATCACCGCCATCATAATCCTCATCATTAGCATCATCGGCAGCATCATCATCTTTACCATCATTAGCATCTCTACCATATTTGTTAGCAACCTGAACTTCACCATCGCTATCATAATACTCATCCTCATCATCCTCGTCATCATTACCAGCATCAGCATCATCGCCATCAGCCTGATCATCCTCATGAGCTTCACCATCATCCCACGCATTATCTTTACCCTCCTCAAAATATCATCCGATTCGTCATCAGCAGGATCATTGTCATCATCATCATCATCATCATCATATTCATCTTCATCTTCATCTTCATCTTCATCTTCATCTTCATTTTCATCCTCATCAGCATAGTCATCGTCAACTCCTCCCTGCCCCGGGCAAGCAACAACGGCATCAGCATAGACGTTCGGAGCTCCACGCGGATTTTCCCTGGATCGGCGCCGGGAAGGTCATGCTCATGTCGTCTTTCCCTCCTCGATCCTCCTTGTCCCTCAGCTCCTCCCTTTTGGTCCCACGGTCAGGAACGTTGGCTTGGCGTGTCGTGCCGCCGGTTCCAGCCCACCACGCCCCAGCGAGACCCGGCGCCGCCCCGCCCAGCCACCCCAGCCACCCCGCCACGCGGAGCGGGGCGACACGCTATCGGCTTGCAGGGCATATCGCGGCACCAGGGCGGTCGCCGCGACACGCTAAGCTCCTCTCCCATCCCCTTCTTCGCCCCCTTCTCCTCCCCCTACTCATGCCCCTTCTTCTTCTTCTCCTTCTTATGTTCCTCATCCTTCTCCTTGCGAAAGCCTCCGAAAACGTCCGAAGGGCACTATAATACGTCAGCGCCCCTCACAGAAAACTTGGCGGCGAGCATCGGGAAACCTCAAAACCTACCTCCTCCCTCTCCCCCCTTCTGCCCCATTTCGACGGGAGGAGAAGACTGACGAGAGGGAAGAGGGAGTAACCGCTCAGCTTCTCTAATGCTACGCCCCTCCTTCCCTGAAGTTCGGTTTGGAATAACCGTCCTCCCTCTCCTCCTCGCCCTACCCGCCTCGCCCTCGTCGTCGTGATCGTCACGATCATCGTGATCGTCGCCGTCGTCGTTATCGTCGTCTCCCGCGTCTCTTCGCCCTTGGCGTCGTCGTCGTGACCGTCGTCGTCGCCGTCTTCATGTGGGGTTCGCGCAGGTGACAGTGCGCAGTGGGAGCACGCCATCGTTGTGCTGAGCTTGTTCGGCGTTGGTCGCGCGTGCAATTATTCGCTCATTATTGTTCGCTGTGTTGGATATTTTTGGATGGTTGGCCATCTCATTTGGTAATACATCTTGGGCTGCCCGGCACGACAGAGGAAGCTCTAGCTTGTTTGTAGAACGATGATCAGATATTTCGCTACATTTTTCATCGAGTCGGCGCATCGTCGTCGTCGCCGTCGTCGTAATCGTCGTCGTCATCATATTGTAGTCGCGCGTGTAATTGTGCGCCTTGAGAGCTCGCCATAGTTTCGTTGAGTTTTCTCATGTGGTTGTCGCGCGTGTAATTATTTGCGCGCTATTGCTCTCCGTGTTAGATATTGTTGGGCGGTTGACCCTCCCACCGGATAGTGCTTCTTGGGCGACCTTGCACGCAGGAGGAATGTTGAACTTGTGCGTAACATCAGTCGTCGTAGGAGTAGGGAAAATAATGAGCAAACGTGCGAGTACGATGACAACGACAGCGGCGTCGACTACGATACCAGCGGGAACCCCCGCAGTGACCGCCTCGGGCAAATAATTAGTTTACCAGTATTGCTTCTGGCCCATCAATATGACCGCACAAAAAAGAGCTTCCACGGTTGCGATGAAAGACTGATCGTGGTCAGGGAAAAAGGAGGACGACAAAGATGCGAAACTAGGGGAAGAGGACGAGGAGGAGGAGGAGGGGGAGGGGGAGGATAGGGGGTGAAGAGGAGGAGTGGCACCGCTGCCCTCCCTCCTCTATATGCCGTCTTCTCCTGCCTCCTACGCCTGCCCTTCCTCCCCTCCCCTTCTCTCTGTCCCTTCGCCGACGCCGTCGCCCACGACCCCGACGACGACGACGACGCCGACGACCTCGATGCCGACGACGACCGCGACCCCTCGACGACGACGACGACGACGGCGACGACGACGGCAACGACGACGACGACGACGACGACGACGACGACGACCGTGACCCCACGACGACGACGACGCCTCGACGATGACGACGACGACGACGACGACGACGACGACGACGACGACGACGACGACCTTCGACGAACGCAACGAAAACGGAAACGCCTCGACGGCCTGGAGCGCCGGCGCCCGAGGCGGCAGCCAGGCTCCTCAGCGGGCTCTGCGCCGGCGCGGCGCCCGCGGCGCTCCGGGAGAGCCTCGTCGTCGTCGGCGTCGGTGTCGTCGTCGTCCGCGTCGGCGTCTTCGTCCGCGTCGGCGTCGTCGGCGTCGTCGTCGTCTGCGTCGTCGTCGGCGTCGGCCTCGCCTTCGGCGTCAGCGTCGGCGTGGTCGTCGTCGTCGCCCTCGCGGGATCGAGGCGTCGTCGTCGATGGGTCGTCGACGTCGTCGTCGTTTCTTTCGTCTCTGCTGTCGTCGAGGGTCGTTTTGGTCGTCGTCGGGGTCGCGGTCGTCGTCGTCGTCGTCGTCGTCGTCGTCGTCGAGACGTCGTCGGCGTCGTCGTCGAGTGGATACGGTCAGGGATGTTTGCTCAGCGTGCGCCCTATGCCCATCTGCATGTCTGGGAGGAGGAGGAGGAGGAGGGAGGAGGAGGAGGAGGAGGAGGAGTGGGGAGGAGGAGGAGAGAGGAGGAGGAGGAGGAGGAGGAGGATGGAGGATGGGAGGAGGAGGAGGAGGAGGAGGAGGAGGAGGAGGAGGAGGAGGAGGAGGAGGAGGAGTAGGGAGGGAGGAGGAGGAGGAGGAGGAGGAGGAGGAGGAAGCCCGAGGCTGTCTCCCCCCGCCTCAGGTCGCGACGCGCCGGCCCGGTCCCGGTCCCCGAGCGTCAGCGTCCCGAGCTCGGCGAAGCCTCTCTCGCCCCGCGGGGCGGGGCTGCACGCTATCAGCTCACAGGGCATGCAGGCAAGATCAGGGGAAAAGATGGGGGGATAGGCATAGGGGGGCAGGCATCGACCCCGAATCGCCCATTGATCGCCGAGAGGGGCCCGATAGCCCCAACCTGCACAGGAAGGTGCGGATTCACTATCGGGGGCCTATCGCCGATCTATCGGCCATGTATCGTCGGTTCCAGGTCGATGCATCCCCCGCTATGCCAGTCCCCCCCTATCGTTGCCCCTCACAAGACGCTGGCAGAAGGACCGCTTTGGGTTCACTCGGTAGCAAGTCATGGGAGCCTGGCAGACCATCTTCATTCAGTCTTTAGCATAGTCGCTGAGCGTCCCGGAGTCGCTGAGATAGCGCCGATCTAGCGTCGGCCAGCCTCGATGAGCGCCAGTTTAGCGTCGTTTTAGCGTCGGCTCGCGTCGATTCGCAAGGGCCGACAGGATGGTATGGGAGGCGAGGTGCCCCCGAAGGCTCGGGATGGGGCCCGGGTTTTCGGGCCGTTCCTCAGCCTCGCGTCGCGGAGCCTGTCAGTGGCCCGGGCCCGCCGTGGCCAGACAACTCCCTTTGTCCCCCATCTACGAGTTCCTTATGGGGGGGAGGGGGAGGGGGAGGAGGAGGAGGAGGAGGGGAGGAGGAGGAGGAGGAGGAGGAGGAGGAGGAGGAGGGTGGAGGAGAGGAGGAGGAGAAGGAAGAGGAGGAAGAGGAGGAGGAGGAGGAGGAGGAGGAGGAGGAGAAGCAGGATGAGGAGGAGGAGGAGGAGGAGGAGGAGGAAGAGGAGAAATGTCTCGGTCCCGCGGCCGTGCCGCCGCCGCCGCGACACGATGATGAGCGAAAGTTCCTGACCGCATCGACGTCGGGATCGTCGGGGGGTCGTCGTCGTCGCCGCCGCCGCCGTCGTCGCCGTCGTCGTCGTCGTCGTCGTCGCCGTCGTCGTCGCCGTCGTCGTCGTCGTCGCCGTCGTCGTCGGCTGAGGGGGCGGGATGAGAGGCCGAGCAGGACGAGGAGGGGGTGCAGGGTGCAGGAAGAGGTGGGTTATCGTCGTCGTCGGCAATTTTGTAAGGCTCTCGGGCGTCCTTGAATGCTTTTGTTCTGGTGCCTTCTCGAGCTCTCGACGAAACCCGGAAGGTTTCGGAGGTCCTCGGAGGATCCGGGATGTTATCGGTCCTCGTCGTTCGAGGATCGGGGTTCGAGGGGTGCGGAGATCGAGTTGCTTGCGCGCTTTGGGGGGGCCCTGGAGGGGAGCGCCTTCGTGGCCACGGTTAAGGCGGGCCTGTTCCTCTAGAAAAGGAATATTCAATAATAGTCAAAACATGCCTGGGGACGATTTTTGAATATGTTTGATTATGTTTGGGATATTGCGAAGGCCTTACGGCCAGTGCCGCCGACCCTGAAGACGGCGACGACGAGGACGACGAGGATGTTGAGGAGCAGGTGGCGGAGGACGCTAGGGAGCAGGAGGGGCGAGGAGGAGGAGGAGGAGGAGGAGGAGGAGGTGCAAGGGGGGAGGAGGAGGACAGGGAGGGGGAGAGAGGGACGAGGAGGGGAAGACGAGGAGGGGGGGAGAGCAGGGGGGAGAGCGAGGCGAGCAGGAACGCATTTGCAGGAGAAGGACGGCTGACAAGGAGGAGGGGCAGCGGTGGGTAGAGCGTGGCGAGCATGAGCAGCAGGAGACAGGAGGAAAGCAATGACGAGGATGGTGACGATGATGACGACGACGCGGCTGATGTCGGTGATGATGACGATGATGATGTCGTTGAGGGAAGGGGGGGGGGTAAAACTGGCGGCAGGAGAAGTTGGAGGAGGAGTACAGTAGAAATGTCAGGATGATGGTAATGAGGTGGAAGAGGAATGGGATGAAGAGGGAGGAGGAGCCCAAGGCCGAGGAGGGGCGGGAGTAGGAGGAGGAGGAGGAGGAGGGCGAGCATGGGGAGGCTCACGAGGTTGAGGATAACAGGGAGGAGGGTGCACACATACTCTTGTCAGGGGTGGTTCCCCGGAAAGGCTGATGGTGGACGTGGACGACGTGACGACGACCACGACGAAGACGATGACGACTACGACGCTCACGACGACGATGGACGATCAACTGTTTTTGGGGGCAGCGCGTCCGTGGCCGAAAAAGGAAAAGGAGGGACAGGACAGGGAGGGAAACGGAAGAAGCGGGGAGTGGGGCAGTCGTATCTGCCCCGGGACCCCCCCGTGACACCACCCCCGGGACCCCCCTCGGGACCCCACCACCGAGACCCCCGCCCCGCGGGGGAGGGATCAAAGGGAAGGAGGTTCTATTCGATTCAACTACAAAGTCGCTGAATTTTGCTGTGACTGTCGCGCTCGAGGAGGAGGGCCCGACGACGAGTCAAACGGAACAGCCTCTTCCACACGCCGACAGGGTCGGCAGGGTCGGCGGATTTGTTTGACTATGTTTAATTTTCTTTTAAAATCCGCCTTAAAACCACGGCTGGGCCTCCCCGCGAGATTCTGGTCAGACCTGCCCACTCTGGGACGGGTCCAGGGCATGGTCGCTCTCGGTTGGTCGGCCTTCGTAGTCGAGGAGACGTCGACGTCGCTGCCGCCGTCGTAGAGGATGTTCGGCGACTTCCGAAGGTCTCCTAGGTAGAGGGCTTCTCCGACGGGCTTAGGTGACCCGTCCTCCTCCTCCTCCTCCTCCTCCTCCTCCTCCTCCTCCTCCTCCTCCTCCCCCTCCTCCTCATCCTCCTCCTCCTATTCCTTCTCCTCCTCCTCTTCCTCCTCATCATCCTCGTATTCCTCCTCGTCCTCCTCCACCTCCCATTCTTCCTCCTCATCCCCCTTCTCCTCCTCCTCCCCCTCCTCCTCCATCTCCTCCTCTCCCTCCCTCTCCATTTCTTCTCCTTTTAGACAGCTCCTCCCTGTCGCACCCCGAGGCCAGTTTTTTAGGGCGGGCGGGGCGTGTCGCCTGAGACTTCCTCACCACTTATGACTCTGAAGCTTCTAAGTGACAGCCGCTTCACAGATGAAGGGCGGGTCGCTTTCAGACTGTGGCTCTCGCTTGAGATCCGCGCACATTCGTTTCCCAAAATTGCAAGAGTTCCACGGATTGAGGGCGGGTGTTTTTCAAAATGTGGCTCTCGCCTTAGCGCCGCGCACATTTGTTTTAAAAAGTTGCACAAGTTTCACGGACTGAGGGCGGGTCGTTTTCAATATGTGGTTCTCGCTTTAGCGCCGCGCACTTTCGTTGAATAAGTGCAAGAGTTTGACAGGTTGTGGGCGGGTGGTTTGCAAAATGTGGTTCTCGCTTCACGGATTGAGGGCGGTTCCTTTTCAAATCGTGGCCATCGTCTTAGCACCGCGCACACTCATTTCTTTTAACTTGCAAGCGTTTCACGGATTTCCATTCTCAACGCACCAGAAATGGTGTTTTGGGAGGATGCAGCATTATGCGGGCGCAGCAGTTATGTTGATTCGCTGTGCTGATGTCCCAAAAATGGCGTTCTGGCACGGTTCTGGATAGTCAAGACGCAGCAGTCAGGTTGATACGTGGCGTTTAAATTCGGAGAACAATGTTTGGGCACGCTTCAGGATCTTCAAGCTGTTGTCTTCCAGTGAGGCAGTTCCCTCAATGGAAATGAACCGTTGTAGGGGCCTATGAAGAGGGAGCTTGGAGGGAGGGTTAATTCCAACATTATTGATGACTCTTGGGTTTCCACTGGTCCTCCTCCTCCTCTGCCTCGGGTCGCCTACGGCCCTGGGGGAAACCGTGCAGGGTATGGCCGGTCAGTTGGTCGGTCGTCGTAGTCGAGGGGTCGTCGACGTCGTTGCCGTCGTTATGGGTGATGTTCGACGGCTTCCGAAGGTCTCCTAGGGGGCCCAGAGGTCTTCGGGGGGGGGGTCAGAGAGGTTCATGGACGTCCTCCGAGGCCCCTGGAAGTCGTCGCAGTCGTGAGCGTGGATGGGTCGTCGTCCTCGCGCCGCCGCCGCCGCCGTTTTCGTTACCGTCGTCGTCGTCGGCCGGGGGGGTGGGAGGAGGAGGGGCCGGGGGGAGTGAGGAAGGGAGAGAGGGCCAACCTGCCATGAAGGCGGGGCGGCTCCCGCCAGCCCACTCTGCCGTCCGAGGGCCCTCGCGTGGCTTGCTCGGATGGCCTCCCTGGAGGCGGGGGGGCATTGAGCAGAGGGCAGCCACTGACCCTTCTAGCACAGTGAGCTCGTTGCCCAGCTCAGGTCCACGACTTTTAGGAAGCTCTGTCATCATAGGAGTGGCTTCGCTCGACACGTCTGCAACAAAAGGACCCCATACTCCAAGTCCCTTACTCATCGTCCCCTGGGTCCGGTTTCTTAAGGCGCCTTTTTTGTAACGGGGGGGGGGTCCGGTTTATTAGGACCTTTGGATTGGAGCTTAGGGGGTCCGGTTTTATTAAGGCGCCCGTCGAAGAGAGGGGTCCTGAGTATTTCGGTCGCATTCTGGAGGGCGGGGGGGGGTTGGGGGGGTCGATTAGAAGGGATTTGGAGTACAACGCTATGGTTTTGCCCCTTCCTAACGCATGGGCCCCTTCCGAAAGGAAGGATCAGGGGGGGCATTCATTCCGCTCATAGGGGGGCGGGGGGGAAAAGGGGGGGGGAGAGGAGGGGGAGGGGGAGGAAGGCAGGAGGAGGAGGAGGAGGAGGAGGGGAGGAAGAGGAGGAGGAGGAGGAAGGAGGAGGAGGAGGAGGAGGAGGAGGAGGAGGAGGAGGAGGAGGAGGTGGGGGAGGGGAGGAGGAGGAGGAGGAGGAGGAGGCGGAGGAGGGAGCGAGGAGGGGAGGATGAGAAGGAGGAGGAAGGAAACGAGGTGGAGGAAGACGAGGAGGATGAGGAGGAGGAGGAGGAGGAGGAGGAGGAAGAGGAAGAGGGGGAGGAGGAGGCCGAAGGAGGAGGGCGGAGGAGGAGGAGGAGGAGATGGAGGGAGGGGAAAAGAGGGGAGGTGGAGGAGGAGGAGGAGGGAGGAGGAGGAGAGGAGGAGGGGGGGAAGGGGACGGGGATGTGGTGAAGGAGGCGGATAGGGAGGAGGAGGAGGAGGAGGAGCGTGGGAGGAGGTGGAGCAGGAGGAGGAGTAGAGGAGGAGGAGGAGGAGGAGGAGGAAGGGGAAAGAGGAAAAGAGGGGGAGGAGAAGAAGGGGAGGAGGAGGGGGGAGGAAGTAGGGGAGGATGAGGGGGGGGGGCGAGGGGGAGGGAGGAGGCGGGAGGCGAGGAGGGGGAGAAGGAGAGGAGGGGGAGGAGGGCGCCCCTCCCAGAGGAGCAGGGGTCACTTTCTTGCTCATCGGGCCGACCCCCTCGACGGGCCGGGCGGGCCGCTTGTCGGGCCGAGGCGCTTCTCCTCCGGCCCGGCGCGGCCGACCGCGCCCCGCTCGGGGCAGGCCCCCTTAGAGCAAGCGGGGGCGCCCCACCCGCGAGGGGCTGAAGATCCATCGAGGCCAACAAAACCCCTAACCCTGACAACGCGGTGAAGGCGTGGCCTCCACCTTTCCCTCTCTCTCTCTCTCTCTCTCTCCTCGATGTGAGTATCCTCTTCCTCTCCCTGCCCTCTCTCTCTGCTGTCGTCTTTCCTTTCCTTGGCATGATGCCGATTGTCCCCCCAGCTGCGACTCCAGGGGTGACCGCCGCTGGAGTTGTCCGGTTCACTACTTTTCATTCCCCCAGGGCCGACTGGCCCTAGGGGGGGATGGCCACGTCTGAACGACCTCACAGCCGTCAATGCCTCAGTGCCTCAGGAGGAAGAGAGCGTGGAAGAGGTGGAGGAGAACCAGGAAGAGATGGAGGAGGGCGAGGAGGAGATGGATGAGATGGAGGACGGCGTGGGGGAAGATAGAAGACGTAGGCTAGGAAGAGATGGAGGAGAAAGGGGAGGAGGAGGTGGAGGAGGAGGAGGAAAAAGTGGAGGGGATGGAGGAGGGGCTGCGTCGCCAAGCTTCGATGCTGGCTGACCCTCCCTCCCATCCCGTCAGGAGCACCGGGCCACGTGGCCGCCAGGGCGGAGGAGCAGGAGGGCACCGACGGGATCGGCAAGGTGCACCGCCCGGCTTCCCGACGACGACGACGACGACGACGACGACGACGGCGGCAACGACGGCGACGACGACGACGGCGACGACGACGACGGCGGCGACGCCGACGACGGCGGCGACGACGGCGGCGACGACGGCGACGGCGGCGACGGCGACGGCGACGGCAGCGGCGACGGCGAGGAGGAGGTGGAGGAGGTGGAGGAGGAGGAGGAGGAGGAGGAGGTGGAGGGGGGGCGACGCCGTCGATCCAACCGAAGCAGTGGACGACCCCCGCGGCGGCCCTTGCTACAGCTGGCCAGCGCGCACGGCGATGGCGACCGCGCCACATCCTCGCTGAAGAGCGACAGCTTCTGCTCCCACTGGAGCTCAGTGGAGCCTGCGGCAACGTCTGCCCGCGGCCTCCGACGCGAAGTTTCCCGCACGGACCGCGCAGCAGCCCCTGCGCACAGCATGGGATTGGGCCCGCCAGGCTGACATCGGCCTCGCCCACTCGCAAGACCCCGGAGCCATTCACAGCGAGAGCGGCCCCTTCCTGGAGATCGCCGGTGCCTCCTGCCCCGCGGGGCCAGGCCAGCTGGCACACAGCCGCCGCCCCCAGGGTCCCCAGAAGCCCCTCTCAGGGGTGCTGCGCCCCAGGGGTGCCTGGCACGCGGTGCCGCTCGCACGCATTCGCTTGCGCACGACCCGCGCCACAAACGTACAGCCGGCCCTGGCTAGGAGTCTGTGGCCACATGTGAACCCTACCCCCGCCCCCCACGATTTCTGATGGCATGCCCCTCGGCATGCCGGGGCCACATGGCCGTCGGAAGAGTCCTGTGCCCCCTCTTCGTGTGTCCTATCCTATATCAAGTCCGGCTGTACTCGGTTGCGCCCTCCAGCTCCTGTGCCACGAAGTATTTGCCTGCGCTGTTCAGCTCTCACCGGCACTGCTGCTCCTCGGCGAGGCGCTGATTACTCGCGGCTGCTGGCCGTGCTTGCCGCCTGGCGGCCCGAGCGTGCTGGACACGACGCTGCAGCCCTGAGCCTCGGCGCCTCGTAAGGCAGTCGGGGGCCTCCGCAGCTTGCCGCCGCCGGGCGCCCTCGACATGCCCCCCTGGCCACCCCGGAGCAGGCATGGCGCACCCGCTCCTGGTCGCGGTTTCCCTTGAGGGCGCCCCCCGATCGTCTCTGGAGCTGCGCGCCTCGCTTCCCCTTCGGGCCTCTCCCGAGCTCGGCCGCGGTAGATGGGGTCGGACGTTCGCGGCGCTCGGCCGACGCATCCCCAGACCCCCGACGTAATGATTTTTTCATTACGTCGACCCCAGAGGCCCCGACCCTTTCCCCATGACCGGCTTTGCATCCCGAGACGTTCTTTGACGCTCCTGAGGCTTGGTGAGGGCCCCCGGAGGCCGAAAATGAAGGAAAACCTCCCGTCATGATTTTTTCATTACTCGAGGGGGCCTGGGTCGGCGATGTCGCTCGATCTGGACCCCGGGTGTCTCCGCGCCTACGTCGCCGATGCTCTGGGCGAAGCAGCGGCGATGCGGCGCGATCCTACGACCCCGTCTTCTCGGAGCCCGTCCGGGAAGCGTCGATGTTCGCTCGCCCAGTTTCTGGGACCGCTTGCCGGCCTTGGCGAGCACGCTTCTCTCCTCGACTTATTGGGCTCCCAGACCCCGACGTCAGGACAGGATCACCCGCTCGACCCACAGAGTCCTCGACCCCTTCCCCGGGACCGGCTTCTCACCCCGAGTTGTTTTTTGACGGTCCCTTTACGCCCGGTGAGGCCCCCCAGAGGCCGAGCATCGCGAAACAAATTTGCCGCCGCGATTTTTCCTCGTGCCCCGAAGGGTTCTGGGCTCGGACCTCGTGGCGCCCGCGGGGCGTCCCGCCCCCAGTCCCCCGACGTAATGATGTTTCCATGACGTCGACCCCCAGAGGTCTTCGACCCCTTCCCCGGGACCGGCTTCTCACCCCGAGTCCTTTTTTGACGGCCCTTGTGGGCCAAGTGAGGCCCCCCAGAGGCCGAGCATCGCGACACAAACTTGCCGCCGCGATTTTTCCTCGTGCCCCGAGGGGGTCTGGGCTTGAGTCGGGCGGGCCCCTCCACAGGAGGAACATCCAAACATGGTCCATCAAATAGTCGGCGGGCGATCCTTTGACTATCTCTCACTCTCTTGTGCGTATATAAAAACATCGCCCCACATCGGCCCTTCAGGGGGACGCGCCCGACCCCGAGGCTGGGCCCGGGCCTCGTGGCGCCCGCGGGGCGCCCCGCCCCGCGGGCTCTGCCGCGGCCCCGGCCCCGCCGTCGCGGAGAGGTTCCCCGCTGCGGGCGCCGCGCAGGCGGTGGGCGCCGCGACGACGGGGGCGCCGCGACGGGGGCGCCGCGACGACGGGGGCGCGCGGCTCCCTCGGGGGCGGCGGCGCGCCGAGCCGAGAGCCCCCTCGAGGCACTCCATGGCCTCCCGGGTGGGGTCGGGGTAGATGTAGGTCGGGCCTGTCCCCCCAGACAGGGGGATTCTCGACGAAAAATTAAAAAGATACCCCAAACATGGCCAAAACATAGTCCAAAAATAGACGGGGGACTGTTGTTTGCATATGTTTTGGCCTTTTTGGGGCATTGTTGGGGTATTTTCTGTTTTTTGTCGGGCCTGTCCCCCTACAGGGGGACCGTCGACGGAAAAAAAGGAGTACCCGAAACATAGTCAAAGAATAGTCCCACCAAAATAGTCTGGGGACTATTTTATAGCTTTTTCGACCTTTTTGGGGCATTGTTGGGGTATTTCCTGTTTTTCGTTGAACCCCCTGTAGGGGGGCACGCCCGACATAAGAGTAGATGCGGTCGGAGGATCGCGCCACATCGCCGATGCCTCGGCGATGCATCGGCGATGCCTCGGCGAGGCATCGGCGATGCGACTCGAGGTGGGGCCCAGTTTGCTCCTCCCCGACGTCGCCAGTGCACGGCCGATGCATCGCCGATGTATCGGTGATGCATCGCCGATGTATCGGCGATGTGGCGATATCCTCCGACCCCATCTACTCGGACCCCATCTAGGAGGCCTCTAGTCATGCAGAAATCACGACTGGATTATCTTCGCTACTTTTTCGGCCTCTGGAGGCCCTCGCCCGTCTATAGGGGCCGTCAAAAAACAAGGCAGGAGGAGAATCCGGTCCCGGGGAATGGCTCGAGAACTCTGGGGGTCGCGTCATGAAAACATCATGACGTCGGGGGTCTGGGATGGAGAAAGTGAGATCGGGGAACAAACAATGACATACTCGTAGAAAAATCAACTCGGAGTTCCGAGCTTCTGTCACTATTCGTTCCCCGGTGAGGGGGCAGGCCTTCAAATAGGGCAGCGGGGCTTCTCAGAAAGCCCCTGGGGCTCCTGTGGAGGAGCTGCTGCGCCCTCGGAGGGGAGGCCTCGGAAGTTGCTCGGAAGGCCAGTGGGCTTCCGAGCCGCCCGATGAGGCCCGCCCCCTCCCTCTTCCTCCCCAGGGTTATGATGTTCCAACCTACTTTAGCCTGAAGCACCAGAGCGAATTTCGAGCACCAACACAGGCCTCCAAAAAGTCTAGGGCTTTCACGTGTCGGGCCCTGGGAGACACTCGTCCAACACTGTTCCGACACTGTTTCGACACTCTTTCGAAAACTTGTCCGGGTGTGGTCCTTAAGTACGATGGGATGTGGCCCGTCAGCACGATGGGAGCAGGATAACCACAGGGGTGTTCACAGTTTGGTTGGTCCGACTGCGTCGCCGTCAGTTGCGTTCGGTCGCCTCGGCTCGATCGGTCATGGTGTCGCTGCCGCGCCGCTGCGCCCTGCTTAGGGCGGCCTGCGGCCTGCCGATGTCGGTCGTTTTCGGTTGGGTTGACGAGCCTGGAGGAGGAGGAGGAGGAGGAGGAGGAGGAGGAGGAGGAGGAGGAGGAGGAGGAGGAGGGAGGAGGAGGAGGAGGAGAGGAGGAGGAGGAGGAGGAGGAGGAGGATGAGGAGGAGGAGGAGGAAGGAGGAGGAGGAGGAGGAGGAGGAGGAGGAGGGAGGAGGGAGGAGAGGAGGAGGAGGAGGAGGAGGAGGAGGTGGAGGAGGAGGAGGAGGAGGAGGAGGGAGGAGGAGGAGGAGGAGGAGGAGGGAGGAGGAGGAGGAGGGGAGGAGGAGGAGGAGGAGGAGAGGAGGGAGGGAGGGAGAGGAGGATGAGGAGGAGGAGAGGAGGAGGGAGGAGGAGGGGGAGGAGGAGGAGGGAGGGAGGAGGCGAAGAGGAGGAGGAGGAGGGGAGGGAGGAGGAGGAGGAGGAGGAGGAGGGAGGAGGAGGAGGGAGGAGGAGGAGGAAGAGGAGGAGGAGGAGGAGGAGGGAGGAGAAGGAGGAGGAGGAGGAGGAGGAGATGGAGATGGAGAAGGAGGAGGAGGAGGAGGAGGAGGAGGAGGAGGAGGAGGACCACCCCGCAAACTTATGGTGGTGGTGGTGGTGGAACACGCGCCCATGATCGGTGATCGGTCGTCGGTCGGTCTTCGGCGGTGCCGTCGCCGTGCACGGCCGTCTGCTCCCCTGTCGCGCCGCCGAGCCCCTGTCCGCAGCAGGCCGCGGTGCTCCCATAGCACGACGACCCTGCTCGGTCTTCCGCGACGCCACTCGCGTCGATGGACTTGGCATCGCTCGGACGTGTGCATTGTTTCTCGGCGAGAGCCATCGAGGACCGCCCTGGACCATCGAGCAAAAAAGGCACGCGCGAAACCGACGACTGCACGGGAAATGGACGTCCGAGCGACGGCAAGTGGACGACTGCGTCGTGCACGGCGCCTCCACCAGTATTAAGGCGGGCCTGTCCCTCTGGAGGGGGAACGAACGAGCGAGGCAGCCATACGCCAAAAGCGCGTGGGCAAGGACAGGCAGAGCGACACGCCGAATGTGTGCAATGAAAAGTTTCGTCAAGCAGCTTGCCAAAGTACAGAGACACGAAACTCAACACAGTAATACAAAGCGCCCGACTGTGAAGCAGAACAAAAAGTCAAAAATAGCCTGGGGACGTTTTTTGACTATTCTGGAATAGGTTCGAATATTTTGGGGGTGCTGTTTTGTTTTTCGCACAAAATTCCCCCGTAGGGGGACATGCCCGACCTGATCCTAGCACGACCCTGCTCACGGTCTTCCGCATCGCCGCTAGCCTCGATGGACGACTGCGTCGTGCTCGGCGCCTCCACCAGTGCCACGGGGGGATAGGACGGTCGATCGGAGGCCGAGCTCGTGACGAACGTAGGGGGCAGCGCCTGCAAAGCGGGGCCTGAGGCGGAAGGGCAGGCGTGTTGATCCCCGAGACGCGCCCGGCTGTTCTCGGAGGGTCAGGTGGTGACAGTTGCAGCACAGTCAAGCATCACGGTAAGGATGAGCGACTTTCCAAGGTCACGATTGCATCCTTCCCCTTCGCCCCATCATCTGCCGCATTCGCTGGCCGCGCCCCGCTCGCACAGTGTCGACATGGCCTTCCAAGCCTCTCGCATCCTTCTCGCGCGTCCTTGTAATCCGGGTTGGCTGTAGGCTTAAGTCGGGCATGTCCCTCTACAGGAGGCATATTCAAAATAGTCAACAATAGTCTGCGGACGATCTTTTGATTATCGTTTAACTATCTTGGGGCTTTCTTGCGTATTTTTAATTTTTCGCCCAAAAGCCGCCTGTAGGGGGACATTCCCGCCCTAACTGTAGGCACACCAGAGGAAACAGGCGATCGCAAACGTGGATCAAGGGGGCGTGGATTGGCGACGGGTCCCGCTTCCATGGGAAATCGCGGGGTTCCGCCGCCGAGCGAGGCGGCACCGGCCGCATTTGGGGGAGGGCACCTCCCCCGATCCACGGATTTGGCGACCGCGCGCCAAATCCATGGATCGCTAATCCATGGTTGCGCGCGCCCCAGAAGGAAGAGGGCGGCCTGCTGGCAGGGGCCCCACGGCAGTGCCTCGTCTCCCGGCGGCCCCCGCGAGGGGGAACCACGGAGGTTCTGGGGCACCCCAGGGTTAAGTCGGGCCTGTCCGTCGACAGGAGGAAGATTCCGAAATAGCCAAGAAGTAGGTTTGGGGACGATTTTTTTTGTATCTTTCCGTCTGTATTGAGCATTGGTGGGCAAGTGTTCATTTTTCGTCCAAAATCCGCCCGTAGAGGGACATGCCCGACCGAACCCCAGGGCCTCCAGAGGCAGATGAGTACCGTGCCCCAGGACTTCTCTGGGCAGCGAGGATGGTCGCACGTCCAGCGGCGAGCGAGGCGGGGGAAGTGAGAAGGAGAAGGCCTTCTCACGAAGCGGCTGAGAATCAGGAGGGGAAAAAGCACACAGACACAATTAATCGACGATTCCCAGGAAAATATATGAAAATATGGGATGTGGGGGGGAAGACAAAGACCCAGAAAATATGGGAAAATATGGGGAATCTGTTTATTTGTGTGTATTTATTTGTGTGTCCTGGGGCCCCCTCAGAGAAGGAGGACGAGGGGGAGGACGACAAATCTGCTCCAGAGTCTCCGGAACGCTCTCAGAGCCTTTGGGAATGCTCTGAGAAGGCCGCAGCGCCCGAGACATCCTCTAGAGCCGCCGGATCTCAGAGATTTTCGATCTATCCTCACCCGGATGTGTCCTCGTCCTGGCCTCGTCTTAAAGGGGGACGAGGAGGAGGAGAGGGTCCGAGGGGGGTTCGGCAAGGTCCGCTACCTGCCCCCCTTGGACTACGGCCAGAAGCCAGACCTGGAGCCCTCGCCGGGCTCGCTGGCGCACGTGGGGGTTGGAAGCAAGCATCTGCATGCCTGGAATGGATAGCGAAAGGAGCGTCCCCAGAGGTCGGACGCTCAAAGAAGATGTGAGCGGCGGGTTTTGGGCCGTGTCTGGCCTTCGGGGGCCCTCGCCGGGTCAAGAACGACTCAGGGCGAAGAGCCAGCTCTGGAGAAGGGGTCCAAACCACAGGGGCCCACGCATCGAACAGATTTGAGCGGCCAGATGTCTAGGTCTCGAGATCTGGGCATCGCATGTTTTTTTATGCTGGGCGTGTTCGCCCAGTTTCGGGCTCCAGAACCATCACAGATCGATCTGGCTCGAAACATGCCGCAGGAAGATTGGGTTCAGCTTTCCTCTTGTGATTTCCACGATGTTCAATTTTTCACGAATGTCGGATCTCAGGGCGGGTACAATGCCCAAGAGCAGCTCTTGCTCATTTGGAGCCGGAGCTGCTGTCCATGCGCCAGTTTGTCTTGTCCGTTTGATGATTTCTTTGGCTTACTTGCCAGGCTTCCCGATTCATCTGTCCAACGTCTCTTGCCCACCTGTCTGCTCTCCGTGTTCATTTCGCACAGGTTCTGCTGCTGGGCAGTGCATCCATCCCTGTCGTGGAAGAAGCACTCCTCGCCTTAACCCCGCCGCACGTGCCCTGTTCTTGGGGAGCGCGAGAGGAGAGGGGTCCAACAGCAGCAAAAGCGGCATGAGCGTAAAGTGTCGGACGTCCGCGCGGGTGCCTTCGGTCGCCTGGTGTGGCGCAGCCTGTTTGTTGCCGAGACTCACCGTGGCCAGAGAAGCACCGTCAGTCTGCGAGCGATTGCGAGGAGGTGCGATGATTTGTGGTGGCTTGCGAGTAGCGGTGCCCAGGCTTCAAAACAAAGAGTCGTGTAGTCGAAGAGGGACCAACATAAGATTGCCATCGTTCCCAGTGGGCTCAACAGCAAATTCTGCAGTTCCTGATTCGGTGCCTCCCAGGGTACGGTAGGTTCGCGTCGCGTCGACCGCCGTTGACCTCGCCTCAACCTCAAGCGCCACTGGCGACCATGACCCATCGATGTTTAACGATTCGGCGTTTCGGAAACGGCCGATCGTTCAAGGTGAAACGATCCCCACGGTGTCAGAACCAAGTGCCGAAGTCGACACGACACGAGCTTGCCACAGCACGACGGCTCTCAAGCTGTTGGAGGTCCGTGCGGATTTCTTCAGTCGACCCGGTCGGCGGTGCTCAGGAAGAGGAAAATCATACAGACACAATGAATCGTCGATTCCCAGGAAAAGGTGGGAAACGACGGGAAGTGGGGGGGGGACTAAAACCCAGAAAATATTTGAAGATATGGGGAATCCTGGGATCTGTGTGTGTGTGTGTGTGTTCATTTGTGTGTCCTTGGGCCCCTTTAGGTGCCCCTCCCTCCCCCGGCCCCCCTCCCCCTATTTATTTGTATCCTTGGGCCCCTTTAGGTGCCCCGCCCTCCCCCCCTCCCCCCCACCAGGGGCGGCGCCTGGCCATGGGGAGGGGGGTCCACCGCCGACACCCTACGAGAAAGCCGGCCAGGTCTCCGAAAGCCCAGACACTTGTGTGGAACGTGCGGCTCCCTCTCTCAACGTCTCTCCGCCCCAGCCGTCCTTCCGCCCCGTTCCCAGCCGCCCTCAGCGCACCCATCCATCCATCCCCCCCTGCTTCTCTGGCAATCCATCAATCCATCCATCCATCCATCCATCCACCCCATCCATCCATCCATTCATCCATCCTCCCCTTGTCCCCGTCCCCACTCTCCCTGCCCCTCCCCGTCCCCCCTCTCCCTCCGCCCATCGCCTTCTCATAGATTCTCCCCCTCGCGCCCTCCCTCCCTCTCTCCCCTCTGCCCTCCCGACATTCGTCCATCACCCGTCCGTCCATCGTCCCCTCTCCTTTCCTCCCCCCCCTCCCCTGAAGTGGCCAGGGCAGGGTGTCGATGTGGCAGGCGGGGGAAAAGGGCAGGCGGGCGAAGGGCAGGCGCGCCCACGCCGCCTCGGCGGTGCTGCGGCGATCGCCTGCCCGACGCCCTCCCTGCACCGTCGTGACCGTGACCCCTGCCGCTCCCAGACCTGCGGCGTGCTCGTGCTTTCCATACAGTGCCGTTTTTAATACATGCTCCGCGTGCGGACCATGTATTAAAAAATGCAGGGACTCAGTACTAAACACAACGAGGAGTTCACGCAGAATTTTTGCATAAATTAATCATGAATGAAACATCCGATATTTTTAAAAATCCCATGTATTAAAAACTGCCCTGTACGCGGTCCCCGGAAGCCCCGACTCTTTCCCCGGGGCCGGTCTTTCGCCCCGAGTCGCAGTCCCAGGTCAGGGCGCGGCGAGGCCAGAAACGGCTCTTCGGGGAGGGCTGGGACGAGGGTAGATCCGTTCCAGAGCGTGGAACGCTCTCATAGCGTTCCTGAACGCGCTGAGAAGGCCGCAACGCCCGAGACATCTTCCAGAGCCGCTGGACCCCAGAGATTCTCAATGTATGCTCACCCGAATTGATCCTCGTCCTGGCTTCACCTTACGTCCTGATCTCTCCCAGACGCGACCGCGTGTGTCAGGAGGGATAAAAACACACAGACACAATTAATCGTCGATTCCCCAGAAAAAATATGGAAGAATATGGGAGGTGTGGGGGAAGACAAAAGCCCAGAAGATATGGGAGAATATGGGGAATCGTTGTATTTGTGTGTCTTTATTTGTGTGTCTTGGGGCCCCTGCAGTGGGGGCCCCCCTCCCCTTCCAGCTGTTGTCCCCCCTTTGCACCCCTCCGCTTGCCCAGGTTCTGCCCTGCTTCCCGCTCGGGGCCGTCTACATGCCCTACGCCAGCCCCATGCTCAACATCTTCGAGCCCCGGTCCTCTGCCGGGGAACCTCCCCTCCTCCTCCTCCTCCTCCTCCTCCTCCTCCGCCTCCTCCTCCTCCTCCGCCTCCTCCGCCTCCTCCTCCTCCTCCGCCTCCTCCTCCTCATCCTCCTCCTCGTCTTCCTCCTCCTCCTCCTCCTCCTCCTCCCCTCCTCCTCTCCTCCTCCTCCCCACTCCTCTCCTCCTCCTCCTCCCCTCCTCCCCTCCTCCTCCTCCTCCTCCTCCTCCTCCTCCTCCGCCTCCGCCTCCGCCTCCTCCTCCTCCTCCTCCTCCTCCTCCTCCTCCTCCTCCTCCTCCTCCTCTCAAGGGTTTCCTCAGACATGCTCGCGTCGTGAAAAGAATTCGGGACGGGAGGTGTTTTTCACCGCTTTCGGTCTCTGCTGGCTCCCACTGGGCCCCGGGACCGTCAAGAAGGACTCCTGATGAGAAGGCGATTTTGTGGAAAGGATCGGGTGTCAGGGGACCGCGCATTGAACAACATCCGAACGTCGCACGTCTGGGTCTGGAGCCCCCTGGAGCTCTCCTGGAGGTCCCTGGCAGCCCGCAGAGGCTTCCAGAGTCTCCCAAAGGCTACCCACACCTGATTACTCGACGCGGAGACCCCTTTATGTGCATCTCGAACTCCGCTCACGTTTCGCTGAGGAACTCCGTCTGTGAGCGAGGGCGAGTCCGCGTAGACGGCGGGCGCGACAGTGATGGCGACGACCGCGACGACTTTCTCGACGTCCGCCTCCTTCGGACATCTCGCAGGATAGATCAGGGAGTGAAGTGTGGAAGAAAGACGGGGGATTCCTCTTGCCGTTCTCCTTGCGGCAACTCGGGCAAGAGCACATGGCGTTGCTACGACCGTCCTCTGGCGTGCTGCTCGCGGCGCATGTGCTGGCACTCGGGGTGCCCAGGTGCCACGCCGGCTTTCTCGCGATGGCCATACGCGGGTGAGCTTTGATGCGAGTGACTCTGACTTGGCATCGCTCGGACGTGTGAATTTTTCCTTCGGCGAAAACCATCGAAGAGCATCCTTGATCATTTGGCGGAAAAACCACGCACGAAACCGACAAAAACACATTGAATGGACGTCCGAGCGACGGCCAGCTGAGCACGAGTGATCAGAGTGTGGGCGAGTTTGACAAAGCGCGCCTTTGGGCGCCCCCGTAATTCTAAATGGGGCGTGTGCTAACGGGACCCCCCCTCCCTCCCTTCAAAGAGAGTGTTTTCGGACTCCCCCCCATTCAAAAGGGGGGTGCGGGTTTCGGACCTCCCCCTTAGCGCAGGAGAAGGGGGGGCGGCATTTCGGACCCCCCCTTCCTATTCAAAGGGGGAGTGGGTGGCCTTCCCCCCCCCTCACCTGCGCCGGACAGGGGGGCGGCGGGAGTGCCTCCCGCATCCTTGTGACTCGCCAGAGATAGTTGGGATCAGGTTTAGGGCGGTTGGTTTGGGGTGAAAGTGTCAGTGTTAGGATGTAGGTTGAAGGCGTTCGGGATAGGGTGTTAGGATTGATTGAGGTTCGTGTTCTAGGGGGTGGGGACTAAGGTTGGGGTTAGATTTAAGTTTAGGGTGAGGGCTAAGGCCGCTAGACCCACTCCGAGCTAGTTGGACGCATCCCACCCACCCGTCGCCCACGACATACAGAATTCAACGCGTCGACGGCGGCGATGCGCTTGCCTATCAGACAACAAGACGGCGCATTGCCGATGCATCGGCGCTGCGTCGCCATTTCCAGGTCTTTCCCTCGGAGCTGAGCCCCCGTACCGAGGCGGCCACAGCCTCGCGGAAAAACAGGGGGCAACAGTCCAGCCCCCACGTGGCGGGCCCTGGGGAAGGGCACGGGCGCGGCTTTTGGCCCGCAGGGGTCGAGGTCGCGCCCGCACCCTCCGCGAAGGACACGATGAGCGAACATTTGCGCGACTGATGTATCGCGAACGCATCTGCCCAGGGCGCGTACACGGGCACCCGCGCGCCGCGCGTCGAGTGGCGGCGTCGCGCGCCCCGGAGTCGCCCAAGAAACCTCCAGAGATCACAAGCGCCTGGAGCGCCCGGGGAGGCCTGGAGCTGCTGTGGCAACGACTGGGCCGCACCTCGAAACGCCTGGGGGACGCCTGGGAGTCGAAAGCGACGAAGTTTGGGGAACGCCTGGAAGCGCCTCCAAGAGTTCACCGACGCGGAGGGGCGCGCTTTGAGGCGCCCGGAGCGCTTAGGGAAATCTGGAGCCGCCGTGGCAGTTCCGGAGCCGCGCTTGGAAGCGCTTGGGGACACCTTGGAAGCGCCTGGGCAACGCCTGGGGGCTGCCTGAGAGCACCACGGGCACAAACGCGCGCAGGCGATCGCAGGATCGTTTTTTGACAAGGATCGCACGAGTTGGAGGCGCCTCTGTGCGCCGCGGAGCAATTTTTGGAACGGGTTCGGGCCGTATGCACGGGACCATATGTTGTGCCAAGGGATCCGGCTTAAGGGATTCGATGGTCTAAACAGTTGCAGACTCTTAGTTATTGGGGTTCGGGTTATGGGGGCTCGGATGCGGGCGTTCGGGTTAGATTTTAGGTTAGGGAGTTCGTGTTTGTGTGGTCGGGTTCAGGCAAAGGTGATAGGGATAGCGTCAGGGGGTCAGGGTTAGGGTGACGGGGTTAGGGCGTTAGGGTTAGGACTGGGGGGCGAAGGGCTTGGGATTAGGGGGGTCGGTTTTGGGGGTTCGGGTGAGGGTTCGGGTTCGGGTGTTGGGGTTCGGAGTACAGAGTTAGGGTTCGGGCCAGGAGTTTAGGATTCAGGTGGTAGGGTTGGGGTTCGGGTTAGGGGATTCGGATTAGGGTGGTAAGGTTAGGGTTAGGGTACGCGGGCTAGTATCATGGAAGTTCGGCTTAAGGTTGTAGGGTTAGGGTTAGGGGATTCGGGACGAGGAAAAGGGTAGTGGGTTAGATTTAAAGGGGCTGGGTTAAGGTTAGGATTTGGGTTCGGCGGTTGGAGCTCGGGGTCGGGTGTGAGGGGGCTATACGGGCTAGGGTTCGGATATCGGATTGGGTTTCGGGTTGTGTCCGAGGCTAGGATTGGGGGGTTAGGGTTAGGGTGTTCGGGTTAGGGTTTGGGAGTTAGGGGGGTCGAGTTAGGTTTAGTGTGAGGGTGAGGCCTATGAGGGATCAGAGGTTAGGGTTCGGGGTTCCGGGTTGGGGGTTAGGTGTCAGGGGTTAGAGTTTGGGGGTCTGGTTAGAGCTTGTTCGGGCTAGGGTTTAGGTGTAGGGTCAAGGTTCGGGTCAGGGTTAGGTTTAGGATGTGGGTCAGGAATAGGGTTAGGGTTTGGGGTTTGGGATTCGGGAATAATGTTCGGATTAGGGGCTCAGGATCAGTGTTCGAGTGGTTGGGTTGTGGTGAGAGCGCTAGGGCTGGTAGGGTTAGGTTAGGCTTAGGACTAGGCTTAGGCGTAGGGCTAGGGGGTCAGGGCTAGGGTGGTAGGGCCAGGGGGGGCAGGGTTTAGGGTTTTGGGTCCGGGTTGTAAGGTTCAGGGGATGGTGCTATGCATAGAGTCAAGGTTGTAGGGTCAGGGTGGTGCGGTTAGGGTCATCGTGTCAGTGTTAGAGGGTTAGGGGGTTAGGGGGTTTGGGTTAGGGTGGTTTGTTTACTTTGGGGTGTCAGGGTTATGGTCAGGGTTGTGGGGCTAGGGTTCGGGTTAGGGTCAGACGGTTGGGTCTAGGGTTGAGGATTAGGATTCGGGCGGTAGGGTTGGGATTGGGGTAAGGGGATTGGGGTCAAGGTGGTAGTTTTAGGGTACGAGTGTGAGGGTGTGTGCTATGGGAGGCCAGGTTTAGGGCGGTAGGGTTAGGATTAGGGTGTTAGGGTAGAGGTTTGGGGTAGGGGTTGAGGCTTACGGGGGTCGGGCAAGGGCAAGTATTGAAGTTAAGCGGTCATGGTTCGGGTTTGGGGATTAGGGGGGGCTAGGGTTGGGATGGTCGCGTTTGGGCTCGGGTTAGGTCTAAGCTTAGGGTTAATGGGGTTAGGGTCAGGGTGTTAGGTCTAGGGATAGGGAGGCAAGGGTTTGGGTTAGGGTAGTCGGGCTGGGTTTAGGCTGAGGGTGAAGGGTAGTCGGGTGTTTGGGGTTCGGGGTTAAAGGTTAGGGGTTAGAGCTCAGCGTTAGGATTAGAGTTCGATATCGGGTTAGGTTTCGGGTGAGGGTGAGGATAAGGATAAGGGTAAGGGTGGGTGAGGGAGGGTTGGGGTGATGGTGAGGGTTAGGAATAGGATTAGTGATTAGTGTGAGGGGCTCGGGTTAGGGATGAGGGTTGGGGCCAAGGGCTTAGGGGCCAGGGGGTTAGGGTCAGGCGGGCAGGGGTCTGGACAGGAGGGGGGTCCGAATTTCGAATCCAAAATGGGGGGGACGGAGGGGGGTCGAACACCCCCCCTTTGAAAGGGGGGTGAGCGAAGACGGCCCGGTGAAAGGGGGGGAGGAGGGTCCCGGACCCCCCCCATCTGGGGGCATCCAGCGGCGCGCCCGCCGAGTTTGAGTGTGAGAGGATCTGGGTATGACTGAATTTGAGTGTGGGTGAGTCTGGGTGTAGTGCGTCGGAGTACGAGTGGGTCTGAGCATCAGAGGGCCTGGGCGCGGGTGGGTCTGAGTGCAAGTGGGTCTGGGTGTGGGCGAGTCTGGCTGAGTTTGAATAGGAGTACGATGAATACGATCCTGGGTCTGGGTGAGCCTGAACACGATCGAGTCTGACTATGGCTACGATTGAGTCTGAGTGTGAGCGAGCCTGCGGCTGGGTGAGTCTGAGTCTGAGTGGGGGTCTGAGTGTGAGCCCGTCTTGGCGCGGTGGAGTTCCATTCTGAGTGCAGTTAAACATGGGTGAGTCTCCTCCTCCTCCTCCTCCTCCCTCCTCCTCCTCCTCCTCCTCCTCCTCCTCCTCCTCCTCCTCCTCCTCCTCCTCCTCCCCCTCTCCCCCCTTGTCCTCAAGCAGCGCACGGTGTGAATTAAGAGGCAGCCGACGTGCAGCCGCCCCCGCAAAGCGGTGAGCCTTGGCTGGCATGGTCCTCTTTTGCCCACGCGCTCCGGCGTATGGCATTTCGTTCGTTCGTAAACATGGGTGAGTCTGAGCATGGGCGAGTATGAGTATGAGTGAGTCTGAGTATGGGTGGGTCCGACTGTGCTGGGTGGGTCTGAGCGAGGAGCAGGTGCTGATGAATAAGTCTGCCGGTGACTGCGTGCATCGGAGTGAGGAGGAGAAGGAAGAGGAGGGGGTTCAGGTGAGTGAGTGAGTGATTAGCGCACAACTCTAGAGCGAAGCGTGGGAGGCGGAAGCAGGGAAGCCGCATGAGACAACCCCAAACCCCAAAATCTGGCTGCGAATCCTGGGATGCCCACCCGCGTGTTTCTCCATTGGGAGTCCTGAAACCCGCGTTTTGCTGGAGACACCCTCCCAAACTGCTCCGGAAGCAGAGGATGTTTGCCGCCGATATCCCCACAGTATGGGCGCGAATCCTTTTTAGGACTGTTCAAGCCATCGCCTCGCCTGGGACATTCGTGCAATCTGCTCTAGCAGAGGATGCCGAATACCCAAACCGGAATACCGCCCGAGACATCCCCACAGACTGGGCGTCCGCCCTGGCGGCTCCCCCTTTGGGATTGCTGAAACCAGCGTCTCGTCGCGGGCGATGTTTCTCCCCCAATCCGCGAGTTGCGCCCGAAAAGTCTGGCCGCTCAGAAGAATGGGAAAACCCTGGGATACACCCCAAGGGGGCTATTCGGACGCACCCCTATTGAGAATGGACACCCCCCCATCGTATATCCCAGGGTTAGGCCCCAAATTTCTGGTCCATTCGGAAACCCCACGAAGCCTGGGATAGGGGTCGACATATCCCCTGTTATCTCGCCTGAGACATCTTTACACAATGCTCCGAGACCAGGGTACGTCTGGCATCCGGACAGGCAAACCGCCGGAGACATCCCCACGATCTGGACGCGAATCCTTCAGTGTCCCCACCCCTGGTGGCTCCCCCCTTGTGGTGTCCGAGTTCTAGGCCGGCAATAGATTGCGGTGAGCATTGGGCCAAGTGAGTCTGAGTATGATTGAGTCTGATTGCGAGTGGGACTGAGCAACTCTGCGTGCGAGTGAGTTTCAGCATGAGTCAGTTTTAATACGAGCGAAGAGGAGTACGATTGAGTCTGATTGCGAGTGAGTCTGAGTATGGGTGGATATGAGTATGAGTGGGTGCGACTGAGGAAGAGGAGGGGAGGGTGTGAGGTGCGAGGGCGGAGGTCTGGAGACTCTCGAGTAATGAAGTTCCGTCCTAGCATATAGGGAACATAACTCCCGAACACATGTTGTTTTGAAGGGGGAGGAGGTGGAGGAGGAGGAAAAGGAGGAGGATCAACAGCAGGAGCATGAGGAGCATAAGGAACATCATGAGGAGGAGAAGGAACATGAGGGCACAGGATGAGGAGAACTCGCCTCCTGCCATTCTCCCTTCTCCCTTCTGTCCAAGTCTGCTTACTGCGCCGTCCTCCTCGCTCTCCCCTCCTCCTTTCTCCGCTCCTCTTCACCATCATCCTCGTCCTCCTTCTCCTCCTCCTCCTCCTCCTCCTCCTCCTCCTCCTCCTCCTCCTCCTCCCCCTTCTCTCCTTCTCCTCCTCCTCCTCCTCCTCCTCCTCCTCCTTCTCCTCCTTCTCCTTCTCCTTCTCCTTCTCCTTCTCCTCCCTCTTCGGCCTTGCCGAGTGCGCAAAGCAGGGGCATTCTCATTCGTCTTCCTGTTCACCCTAGTCAGTTTTCTCCTCATCATCCTCTTTATCCTCGCCCGCGTCCTCCCCTGATCTTCTTCACCCTTAGCAGCCTCATCGTCATCATCCTCCGACACTCACTCCCCGCATGTTGTACGTCTTATTTCTCCTCTGCGTCCTCCCACCGCGTTTCCTCACTCCTTTTTCTCCCGCCCACCCCCTCTTCTCTCCTCGTTGCCGCTGATCCCCGTGTGTGCTGTGCCGTTTGTTTTGCATGCCTTCCGTCTGACAGGGCATGGCGCCCCCTTCGCAGAGCGAGCAGGTTACACTTGATTCGCAGCTATCTGGCGTCTTGGGAAGGCACGGTGGGAGAGGCTCAGGTTCACGTGGCCAGTTCCACGAAGGCGCCCTCCTCGTCGACGGAGCGAACGGTCGCCTCTGCATGAGCTTGCGGAAGGTCCGCGGAAGCCGGCAGACATGCCATCCTGAATGGCTTTGTTGGCCGGAGTTCGGCATCACCCCAACATACTAATACTATGTGTTCGTCGCCCCCAGGGGCGACGGGCGCACCGAGAAATCTTCTAGTACATGCGTCGTGGCTGGCGTTTCCTGGCCACACCGCTCGGGAAACGATACGCTACAAGATGCTTACACTATGTGTTCGGGTCGGACGCGCGCCTCCAAGGAGGACATACACAGTACTGGTAGGTCTCTGTGCGTGCCAGGAGTTGGCGGAAGCTTGACTGAAGACCTTTTGTGGAAGTAGCCACCCCAGACTCGGGCCGAACGCAAGGGGGAGATAGGGAAAGGTGGGGTTACGAAATCTGCTGCGTGCAGCTGTTTTCGGCCCCGCCGCCAGGCCCATTCCTCGATACATGGGCGCCTCCCAGCGCTGGGAGGCGCCGGAAAAATCAGCTACGTGAGCTGATTCTGAATCTCAAACCCCCCCTTTGCTATTCCCCCCTTTCGCCCGGCCCGACAGACTGGCTCCACGCTGGCATCCTGGAAGTTTCCAGGAGGTCGGAGGCACACCTGGCGGGGGGGGGGGGGGAGAGGGAACGCCGCCTCCGTTTTGTGGGGGGGGGCCCGCCTCTAGCCGAATCGCTTGGGAAAAAACGGCACGCAGCCATGAGAGAATACTCCAAATCGCTTGTTAATCGACCCCCCCTAAAAAACGGACCCCCCTCCAAATGCGACCTAATATTCCGGACCCCCCTCTTCGATGGGGCGCCCATATAAACCGGACCCCCTAAGCTCCAATCCAAAGAAAGCACGCTAATAAACCGGACCCCCCCAGTTACAGAACAGGTGTCCTAACAAACCGAACCCAGGGGACGATGAATCAGGGCTTTGGGGTAGGGTTTGGCAAGAGCTGGTATCGTTGGGTAGCGATGGCGAGGGCCGAGCAGGAGGAGGAGGAGGAGGAGGAGGAGGAGCAGGAGGAGGAGGAGGAGGAGGAGGAGGACAAGTAGTCTCCTCTCCGTCCCTCCCCCCCTGGCCTCTCGCGCCCTTGCCCTGCGGCCGGCCTGCCGCTCCCCGCCCCGCAGGCGGCGACCGCTTGCACCGCCACTCCAGTCCTTGGCCTCGGCATCGCTCGGACGTGTGCATTTTTCCTTCGGCGAGGACTATCGAGGAGCATCCTTGATCATTTGGCGAAAAAGCCACGCACGAAACCGGAACAGAAACACAGGGAATGGACGTCCGAGCGATGGCGAGTGGCCCTCCCGCTCCCAGCGCGAAATGCACGCGCACCGTGCCTCGGGTACATCTTGTGCCCAGGCCGCCTACGCGGGGACCGATTGGACAGGGTCGGGGGGTCCGCATCGCCGATGCATCTCTATCGGGCTCGATCCAGAACCCGATGCTCTCCGTCCCGCGCATCGCCGATGCAACAGAGGCGCGGAGCGATCTTCCGACCCCATCCAATCGGCCCCCACTTGGCCGGCCTCCAACCCAGTCCCACGACGGCATTCCATATCGTCGACCCCCAGAATTCTCGACCCGTTCCCCGGGACCAGTTTCTCGTTTTGAGTCGTTGTTTGACGGCCCCGAGGCCAGGCAAGGGCCCCCAGAAGCCAAACATAGCGAAGAATTTGTCGTCGTGTTTTTTTCACAGCCCGAGGGGGTCTGGGAGTCTGGGTGCGCTGCGCTCGGGGGCGGCCAAGAGGGGGGTGATCAGCAATGGTGGGTGGTTATCACGGCGGGGGCCATGATATCTCCCCAGATGTCATGGCGCTTCCTTTTCTTTTTCCTTTTATTATTATTATTATTCTTCTTATTCTTCTTCTTTCTCTTCTTCTTCTTCTCCTTCTTCTTCTTCTTCTTCTTCTTCTTTCAACGCGTCCCCGGCCCCCACCCTGGGCCGCAAACATGCCTCCGGCCATGATTGGGACAGACCCCTCGTGGACAAAACCCTCTTCCCAGTCCCCCGACGTCATGATTTTGTCGTGACGTCGACCCCTGCAGGTCGGGACCGATTCCCCGGGAGATGTTTCTCCTCCTGAGTCGGTTTTTGACGGTCCCGAGGGCCGGTAAGGGCCTCGAGAGGCCGAGAATAGCGAAAAGCTTCCCGTCGTGATTTGTTCATGTCTCCAGGGAGTCTGGGCTGGACGCCCCCGATGCGTTGATGAGCACAGAGGCCTCCGCCCTGCAGGTACCGGAAGATGTACTCCGATATCCTCTTCTCGGGCGGCCGGCGCTTCATCGTGCCGCCCATCCGCCAGGGGCCCGCCGACGACGTGAGCCTCGGCGAGGTGGGCGTGGTCTTTTACCTCGACGACCTGCAGGCTGGGCCCGCTCCCTCCTCCTCTCCCTCCCCCTCCTCCTCCGACTCCGACTCCGACTCCACCCTCTTCCGCCTTCTACTCCTCTCCCTCCCCTCCTCGTTCCCCTTCCAACCCCACCCCCTCGCCCTCCCCACTTTTTCTCCTCCTCCTGAACCTCCTCCTGTCCTCCCCCTCCTCCTCCTCCTTCTCCCTCCCTCCCTCCCTCCCTCTCTCCCTCCCTCCTCCTCCCTCCCTCCCTCCCTCCCTCCCCCTCCTCCTCCTCCTCCTCCTCCTCCTCCTCCTCCTCCTCCTCTTCCTCCTCCCCCTCCTCCTCCTTCTCCTCCTCCTCCTCCTCCTCCTCTCCTTCTCCTCCTCCTCCTCCTCCTCCTCGTCCTCCTCCTTCTCCTCCTCCTTCTCCTCCTCCTCCTCCTCCTCCTCCTCCTCTCCGCCTCCTCCTCCTCCTCCTCCTCCTCCTCCTCCTCCTCCTCCTCCTCCCCCTCCTCCTTCTCCTCCTCCTCTACCTCGACGACCCGCAGGCCAGGCCCGCTCCCCCAGAGCTCTGGCGCTCCAAAACACATGTTGGCTCGGCGGGTGTTTGGCGCCGTTCTGGCGGCCTCCGGAGCCCTCGCGGGGCCTCGAGACCGTCAAATAACGTCTCGGTGCGGAAAACTTCAAGTCGGGCATGCTCCTCTACAGGAGGCATATTCCGGAATGGTTGAAAACATCGTCTGGGAACGGTTTTCGTGCTCTTTCCGATCTACTTTGTTTGAGTATGTTTGGGCTCTTTCGCATTTGTTCCAAAATCCGCCCGCAGGAGGGCATGCCCGACCCAATAATAATCGGCCCTATAGGGAAGTGGTCCCGAATGTCTGGGCCGACCCGATATTGATTTTTCGGCCGGCCCGATCAGATTCGGCTCGGGTGTTCGGACGCTCCGATGCGGCCCCGTGCCTGCACTGGGAAGAAGAACAGGTACCCATACCACTACCATTCGCCCGTGTTCCCCTGCTTGGGCCTCCTGGGAGGCCCTCGTCGCCACCGCTGGATTCGCCTCGAAGTCCTTGTCAGAACGCCCCCCGGGAGAGGTCTGGTGAGCAGCGGTATCGGTACTTTTTTGATTTCCCCACGCACGGCGTAGTTAGTGGGTCTTGGTGCGGCCGATGCGAACCGATCCCTACTCCGTGCCGATGCAGCACGGCCCTGCGCACGCTTCCCGGCGCGATGCTGACCGGCCCCGCCTGCAGGAGGTCTCGGAGCAGACCAACGATCAGGTCCGCGCCTCCAGGGGGGGGAGCCGGGAAGGGCTTCCCGAGCACGAACCGGGAGAGGAGGGAGGGAGGAGGAGGAGGAGGAGGAGGAGGAGGAGGAGGA